AAGGTTCTTACGGGTTGGCCCCGGGTGACACAGTTCTGGGGGGTGCGTTTGGAGGGGGGCTGGATCATTCGAAGGAGGTACTCCCGGGCGTTCCCTGGTTTGTTTAATACCCTTCTTGCCCTGATCAGGGCTAGATATATCTTCCGGCGGTACCCTGTTGTCAATGGGTAGGGTTTTCGGCCACCGTAGTCTGTGTCTACGGCAGTCAGGGAGGACGTCGTGCTTAGCTAGCCAATTCCGTCCAAGGATAACTTCGTGCGTGCCCCCAGTTATAATCAAGAGGAACACTGTATCAGGGAATGTCCGTCCGTCGAGCTCCATCGTGGTTATAAGGGCCGTTATTATCCATTGAGTCGGGACACCGTCAAACCCTCCACACGGGACGGGGTCGAAGTCGTTGATAATCTCAGCCCCAAGGGCCTTATAGGCCCGTCGAGCTGTCTTCAAGTCCATAAAGGCGTAGCCGCCTGCTCCAGTGTCGATCAAAGAAGATATAGGAAGAGAGTTTCTTCTATTCGTGAGGCTACACGGTAGTGACAGGGACTTTCCCCCTAATAGGGATACTAAGTCCAGTGCAGCAACAGAGAATCCATATCGTTCAATAGTCAACACCTTACTCCAGATGGAGGTATCTTTTCTGGAGTCTATTCTTTTCCCGAACCTTCGATTTCCTCGCTATTTGTATCCATCTCAACGACCCGGTGAGCTCTTGCCCGAGAGGATAGGGTAGGGATCCTTTTACTGGTTGTGGTCATAGCCGCTACCGCTGCGGCGAGGGATTGTTGGACAATAGCTTGAATTGAAGCCTGGATATCTTGATTGGGGCCCTGATCGGGGCAATCGGACATTAAATGTCCGGTTTTTTTGCACTTAAAGCATGCTCCGATCCTTATTAGTCGTTGTCGTTCCTCGCTGGTCGGACCTGTAGCTTGGCCCTGGGTTCCCCCCAATCTTCTTCGTGGGGTGGCAGCAGGGTCCTTCTTGGCCTGATCAGGAGCAGCTGGGGTTGCTCCTGTAGACTCCTTATTGTCCTCCTTCAAGGGGTTCTTCTTCCGGCCTCGCTCTCGTTCTTCATAGATTCTTTTCTGAGCGCTTGCCTGCCTTGCCGCTAGAGTGACGAACTTGGTGAATCCGGTGTTCGGGTCGTCGTAATCTCGTATCATTTGCAGTTTGACGCGAGGGCATAGGCGTAGATTGAACTCGTACTTATACGAGTCAGAGGGTAGGAGGGATTGCCCTGCTAGGCCATAAACGTTGTCTTGAATAAGTGGAACTCCTCCTTATCGCTCATACGGAGTTCCCGGAAGTCGGCGCGAGCCGATTCCAACTGGTCTTCGTTATGATACGACGTGTACAGGTGATCTAGAAGCTCCTTCCAGTGAGTAATACAGTAGGCGTTATTTTCGTGTAGGTACGGCATCAATTCCCTAGACGCCGCACCACCCAGTCGTTGAGTGATGAGGAGCATCTTGTCCTGATCGGAGGGTCATTTTGTTGGGTAAAGTTCTATCGCCTTGGTTAGGTTATAGTACCAAGGATCGAAATAGACCTTAACCCTGCCGCTATCATCGTCGGTGAAGATGTCGGCGTCGGAGACGCGCGTTGCACCCCCGCTTTGGGCCTGGTTCGTTCCCTGGGAGGCAGTTCTTCTGTTCAGTTGAACGATGTCCTCATTCAGCTGGGCTTTATCTTGAGCCAGCTCTCGAACTTGCTGTTCCAGTAACGAGGCGCGGGTCGTTTCTTCTTCCCAGAGCTTGGAGTATCGGGCCTGTCTCTCGTCAAGCTGGTTCAGTAGGTCGCGTAACATCGCAACCTGTTCCCGGTGTGCCAGTTCCCTCGCTGCGAGGTCTCTGACGTACCTCACAAGGGTACCCGTCTGATCGGCCTCTACTAAGGCCTCGATCGAAGGCAAGTCTGCAAGAACGGCGTCTTGCCTTAGGTCTTCAGGTGTATGTAGGGCAGAGAAATCAGCAGAGATATCTACGCAACTGCCGTCAACAGTCGAAATCTTTATCATGTGGTCCGAGCGATTCTAGCTAACAATCCAAATAACACCGAGCTATACAACCTGTACTTGAATTGGAAGGAAAAATACGACCCTGCCTATACGCCGGGCTTCAGTCTAATTGGAAGGACCGGGCCTTTACCCTTGAATGTCATTCCCCCCTCACCTTTACCGGACCTCAAGAAAACCTGTATAAATCGGTTAGAGGAAGAAAAAGGGAGGTCAATCTTTGACTACGTTGCTGCCAACCAAATCAGGCTGCTTAGTCAACGATCGGGAGTTAATAACTACATTCAGGAGGTTATTCCGATCGACCGCCGCATCGTGGATGTGACTGAGTCAAATACCTCTGGCGAAGATAGGGCAAAGGGAAACGTTTCAATAAACGCCAATGAACTCAAGAGGAGGCGTACGGGTCGAGCATTTGTTGATGCTAGCCCTGATCAGGACAAGAACACGTCTCAGCCTACGGAAACCGTCGAAGATGATCAACCTGAGCATGCGCCGAGTACCACTAGCGCACCGACCAGTCAATATAGGACTCCTACAGTCACGGAAGATACTACTGATACCACTTCTAGCCTTGATCAACGCAGTGCAAGTCCAGCAGATGGCGTGTTCTAAATTCGACCCTTTTATCACGCCGAAATTCTCAGAGATCGATCGAGGCTCCAGATTAACAGAGGATCGTCTTCAGAAAATTCTGGAAACTTGTCAGTCTACTCTTACCAGAGAGGAGATAGAAGCTTTCACACACCTTCTGTATAACCGAGAAGCATCCCTCGCTTGGGACTTCACGGAATGCGGAAGAATTCATAGTGACGTTATGCCTCCCCAGGCAATACGAACTATCCCTCATAAAGCCTGGCAAAGTCGCTCGGTCCCTATTCCGAAGCCTTTGGTCGAAAAAATCGTACAACTTCTCCGGGATCGAATCAAACGGGGAGTCCTTAAAGAGAGTCATGCGAGCTACCGTAACAACTGGTTTTTGGTCCAAAAGAAGAACGGCGGCTTGCGCTTAATCAACGACGCTCAAAATATAAATAGAGTCACTATCCGCGATGCGCTCATTCCTCCTAGAGCGGAGGAATTCTCAGAGGAATTTGGAGGATGTCTTCTCAAATCACTGCTGGACCTATTTTCTGGATACGATCAAGTCAGCCTGGAAGAAAAGAGCAGAGATTACACGACCTTTTCTACACCTATTGGTCTTTATCGAATGTGCACTTTACCGCAAGGTGCTACGAATTCTGTGGCTCAATTCATGAGAGCTATGGTCCGCCTCCTTTACGACCTTATTCCTCATATCTGCCGACCATTCATTGACGATATATGCGTTAAAGGACCAAGGCACGATTATGACAACGAATTAGTTATGCCTGGAATTAGACGATTTGTCCTAGAACACCTCAGCAATATCGATAAAGTGCTACTCAACTGCGAACTGGCGGGATCCACAGTAGCGGCAGAGAAATCTCAGTGGTGTCAAAAAGAAGCTGTTCTGGTTGGATATTGAAACGGGGTCAGGCGGTCAGTAGGATATACCTACCACCTAACACACTGAACAGACGGCTCCAGTACCAACAGATCTATCTGTTGTTCTGATCAGACGAAGATCATGGTACTGGTTGGAAGAGCGAAGCTCTTACACGTCTGGTGCGCGAGTTGGTCGGATATGCCTCTGATACTCGTATCGTGATAATAGGATCTCGAACGTAAAGATAAGCTGAATAACTAAAATAACTAAATAACTGACTGAAAAGCGAAGGTGAAGATATAGATAAAAAGGAGATGATGATATGAAGATGAGGATGATGATGCGTGAAGATGGGGGACTCGTGTCCTACTCTGCCTCTGTGCCTCTTAAAGAAGAAAAAATAAACTTTCTCCTAGCCCCGTAACCTATTTCCCTGATGTCCGGCCTTACCCCGTTACAATATCTCTGTACTCCGTATGGACGTCGTCCTGATCAGAGCAAAGTCTTGAAGATTTTGGAATGGAAAGAGTGTAAATGCTTGAGGGATGTCCGTTCTTTCATCGGTATAGTTGGATGTTACCGCGTCTGGATTGACCAGTATGCTATTACTGCTTTACCGTTATTCAAATTAATGAAGAAAGGCGTTGGTTTTCTTTGGGACGATAAGTGCCAAGTAGCACTACGAAAGCTTCAAGAAGGAGTTACATCAGCCCTCTGTTTAGCACCTCTTGTATTTGATGACGAACGCTATGGGACTATTTTTCTCGTGATCGACGCGAGCCTTGAGGGGTGGGGGGCGGTTATTGAACAAATCGGACCAGACGGTTGTCGACATCCTTGTCGCATCGAGAGTGGCATTTGGAATGACGCAGAGAAACGATACGACGCGACAAAAAGGGAACTCCGAGGGCTATTGATGGCCTTCAAGCGCCTGAGACGCTACCTTTATGGCACTCACTTTGTTATCGAAACAGACGCTATGGTCGTTGTGCAGCAACTTGCGGGGGCCCTAAATGATGTGCCAGGAGCCTTACTTCTTCGTTGGATCACATGGATAGGATTGTTCGACTTTGAGGTTAAACACATCAAACGATCCAAAAACACCGTCGCGGACGGACTATCAAGAAAACCTGCAGGACCTTCTAATCTGTTGGAAAAGGAAATTGAGGAAGACATTGACGACTACATCGACACTCAGATCTATCATGTCACCCCCGAAAATGTCCTTCAAGGAGATTGGACAGAACAGTCAAGATGTATCACCTATTTCTTAACAACACTAGAGGAGCCAATTCATCTCCCGATCAATCAAAAAAAGCATTTAAGACTAAATGCTTCAACTACCTGGTCAAAGAAGGAATACTCTGGATAAGAGCGCAACATTCCAGGCTTCCAAGACGAATGGTGGATTCCGATACTGAAAGGCGTCAGATCTGGACGAAGTGCCATGAGGAAGTCGGTCATAAGGGAAGAGATTCAACATACGCAAGGATAACTCAGCATTACTATTGGAAAGGGATGTACACAGATTTCGAAAAATGGATGAGACGGTGCCTACCGTGCCAACAGTGGAACCCGCGACGATTCAAGGAACAAGAACAGTACACTGTACCAGTTGGGCATCCATTTGCGAAAATCCATCTTGATGTACAACACCTTCCCCTTCATCAAGGCATAAAGTATCTGCTGGAGGGGCGATGCTATCTTACTGGGTACGTGGAAGCAGAAGCGATCAGGAAGTGTACTTCGAAGGCCGTGGCTGGCTTCCTGAAGCGATCCTTCTTTTACTGATGGGGATTGTGCCTTATCTGTGTTGTCGACGGAGGGTCGGAATTCAAAGGCGAAGTAAAGAACATACTGGCGAAGCTTAACATTCAGCAAATCACTACCTCCCCGTACAATGCCAGAGCGAATGGTATTAACGAATCTGGGCATATCTCTATTGCCAGCAGCCTGGCAAAAATGACAGACGGTACTGGGAAGAGTTGGAGATCACTGCTACCAGCTGTGTTATTCGCTGATCGAACCTCGATCCGATCTACAACAGGAAAGACTCCTTTTCGACTTGTCCATGGATATGATCCAATCACTCCAATTGAGATGGATCTTCTATCATGGCGGATACTTGACTGGCAATCGATAATTCCTCTGGAAACTGGAGACAAAATCAAGGATGCTCAAGCTGCCCATGAGCTTCTCAAACTCAGGATCCAGAGCATGGAAGACAGAGACCTTGAATTCAAGGATATTGCTATGAAAGTCGGTCAACCAAGACAAAAAATGGCAGAATGGAGGAATGCGAAGAATAAAAGACTGCTCCGACCAAAGATAGGAGAGGTCACAATTGGAGATCTTGTTCTGGTGTATGACAATATCAGATCTATCGATATGTCATTAAGCAGGAAACTTACGTTCAGATGGCGTGGACCATTCAGAGTCAGGGGCATCAGTTCGAAAAAGGCTTACTACCTTTGTACCTTGGACGGGATTCAAATCGAGACGCCATTTAGCCCTGATCGAATCAAGAAGCTGTACAGTATCAACGACGTACTACTTCGAGATGACGAATTACCACTTCTCACTCAAGAGCCGCTCGAAGAACAAGAAGTTGAATAATTCGCCCCGGGACGACCAGCCAATCAAGCACATCAAAACTCTTCACCCGATCAGGATCCACTTGAGAAGTTCAAGAAGAAAGGATGGCGACTAGAAGTTCAAATACCACAAAAAGGGCCCGACGAATCCCCTAATAATACAAATGGGTAGTTCGTGAATTGCAAGGTGCGCCTGTAGCAATTCACAAAGGGAAGTAGTATGACGTGGGGTTAGGGTTTTTTTGGGCGTTATTTTTTTCGTTTTTCTTTTTCGATATTCAGACGAATTATGTAAGCGTGTTCTTAACGGGTATTTAAGACCTTATGTACATAGTCACTCTCTTGAGAGAAAGATAGGAATTCAAGCGGCCTTTTCCACAGTAATCTGAACCAATTTCTCTTTACTTGGACAGGCATTCAATGTCCGACGTACCTGTTGAGGTACTTTCTGTTCCCCTATAGATCTGATTGTGCCTGTTGAGGCCATTGTTCCCATCTTTCACCTGTTGAGGTGACTGTTCAAGGGCCTGTTGAGGTTCCTTTTCTTCCCCAGCCTGCTGAGGCTACAGTTGTTAGTACCTGTTGAGGTACTTGTCGTTCCGATCAGGGCAAGGAGCTCTTGATCTTGTTATTTCTTTCCACCAAGGTCTTGTTGAGGATCTTGTAAGATGATAGTAAGCCATCATCTGACACCTTAAACCTGCGGGTGGTTCAATTGCCCGTCGTCAATATATCTCTCCGTCGCTAACAAGGTATCAGAACAGGCAAGAAAGTCGCATTGGTGGTGGTGATGATGGTACTAACTTCCAAAGGCTGTAGTTGCGGAAGGGCTATCTACAGGCGGCTAAGCGCTGCACGTTGCACATAGGCGGTAGATTTATATGAAGGTCAAAAACAGATGTTTTTTTTTCTTTCTTCTATGATGGTTACTTCTGGTTTGAGGCGGGGTTCTGTAGCCCTACACTTCGCCGTACCTTCCCATCTGCGGTATGCCTACGACACGCAACTTAAGGTTGCTCAGGACTTGGGGGTCTTCGCAATTTCTCAAACTCTGAAGGAAGATCTTGAGCCTAGCGCCACTATTGCTTGGCACATAACTAACTACAGCCTGCCCCAACCGTCAACTTGGTTCGTGGATTTGCCTATTACTAGTAGCTAATTATGAAAAAAGGCAAAGTACTTTTTAACCCTAACATACTAAAATATGCATCTTTTTTTAACTCCTGATCGTATCAACCTACGTCAAGGCAGAACTTGATATACACAACTGCTACCTCATGATCTAAATCTCCCATTCCCCCATCGCTCAACGCTACTTGGGAATTGCCTGAGCGCTGATTCTTGACCAAAACCTAACGCCAACTTAACAGGGCACGGTACTCATCTCCATCAACGAGACCGACTTAGATGCCCCATACCTCTGTAGCGGACTATGCTGGTCTACTTCACTGGTTTGGCCGACAGTGAGGATATATCGAAATTATCGCAAGCTATAACCAAGAATCGAACTGAAGGTGTCTCTGTCTCTCTCCACTCAAAAGAGTGAGGGTGGTCATAAGGGCCTCGAGTACAGACAAAGTACCTCTTGGCTGCATATTTTGAGAGTGCTGGTCACGTCTGAGCATAACAGTGGCTACTATACCAGAGGATTTGATGCAAAGGGTGCCAATATCCGGTCTCCTGGCTGTTGGAGCTGGAAGGGGGAAAACACCGGTTGGGGGTCAAGAGCTGGTCCGGTCCGACAGGACAGTCAAAGCTCATAAGCTCCTACCAATTGTCGAAGGAATGATTTCCAGATGAATTTTCCTACTAATAAGCTAAGTCCTGCACAGTATATATCTAAGTAGATGCGTACCTAACCTTCAACGTTTGTCCAGCTTTACTTTTACTTTTACCTGAGGATCTCAACATTTGGTCAGGTAGCCAAATTAATGAGTTGCCCGAACCTAGTACTACATCATTGGCTTATAATGATCACGTTATGAAAGGACGTGCAAACTTTTGTCCAGCTCTACTTTTGGTTTTAATTGAGGAGCTCAATGTCTGGTCAGGTAACCAAATCGCCGAGCTGCCTGAACATAGTATCATATTACTGGCTTAGAAGGATCATGTTGCGAACGGACGTGCATTTCGGAACAGTTCGCGGAATCACGGCCTTGGCCTTGTCTTGGCTGCTGGGTAGACACCCCGCTAGAAAATATTTCCAATGCCCATTTCAACTTCATCGTGCGGTTCCACTCAGCAACTCATCCATTTTCATCCCCCCCTCTCCTTTACGACCAATTGGGAATGAATCATCAAAACCTCTCCACCTCCTGGAATCCGATGCTGCCACTGCTTTCACAAATCGAGCGGTTAGATTCGAAGCTCAACCAAGAGGTCTTGGGAAGCGGAGGATAGAAAGCGACGCCTTCACACCGACAGAATGTTAGGCATCCATTCCCAGAGACCCAGCGCGTTCTCGCGGGGTGGCTGGATGACATGGATATTCTCGGTCGTCGTGACTTCAGTCTTGATCAATCAGTCACTAGGATGGCTCAGCTCAATCTCCCATCCGGCTATTCATCCGCCGTCTGAACCTCTGTATCATGCGGGCCCGGCGTCTTCCAGCAACGACCATTTCGAACGACTGAGCCGACGAGCTGAATGCCAACATGGCGGCACAGAGGGATCTAATGACAATCTGTCTCTGCGAGTAGGTGCCGTCTTCATCATTCTTGGGGTATCATCGCTGGCCTGCTTATTCCCGATCTTGGCGGTCAAGTTTCCCGGACTCAAGATGCCAGCTGGCTTCTTCTTCGCGGTCCGACACTTTGGAACTGGCGTCCTGATTGCGACCGCTTTCGTCCACTTGCTACCTACCGCTTTTACCCTGCTCGGGAACCCATGTCTGCCCCAGTTCTGGACCAACGATTATCCCGCCATGCCTGGCGCTATCGCTCTCTCGGGTATCTTTATCGTCACTGTGGTGGAAATGGTGCTTCATCCTGCTCGAAAACTCACACCTGAGGTACAAGCAGCATCAACTAGAGCGCCCGCTGCAATGCAGGTGCTTCGGGGCAGGTCAATGAGCATTGGTCGGGGTTTATCGCATATTGACTCAGTAGCACGGAGAAATGACAACGGAAATGGGGATGGAATCGAACCGACGTTGCGAGAAGAAGAAAGCAGCACACCGGAGCCCAAGCTGTATCTCGAAACTGGTCTCGATGGTACAGCGGCGGAACCACAGGCACTCCTGACTCCTGAGCAGAAACGTAGGAAGGAGGTTATGAACTGCGTGCTTCTTGAGATTGGAATTTTGTTCCACAGCGTTTTCATTGGCATGGCCCTGAGTGTCTCGATAGAGGGCAGCGAGTTTGTCGTTCTTCTTATTGCCATTTCGTTTCACCGTATGTACTCCCAACACGTCTCAAGGAGGCCCTATTCTGGAAAAAACGAGACACCAACCGTACTAACAAGACAAAAAATAAACAGAAACATTCGAAGGATTGGCTCTAGGTGCCAGAATCTCAGCAATAGAATGGAAACAATCAAGTTTCCAACCCGTGTTGATGGCTGTGGCCTATGGCTGCACGTGAGTCTCTCCCACGCCGTTCTTTATCTAGCCTCTTTTTTATCAGCGTTCTCTCCCTCAAGGGCACAATTGACCAAACTTTCCATGTAGCACGCCTATCGGCCAAGCCATAGGGTTAGCCGCTCGCTCCGCGTATAGTCCCGATTCAGATGTCGGTCTCCTACTCGTGGGGATCATGAACGCCATTTCGGCCGGCTTGTTGGTCTTCGCATCGCTGGTCGAGTTGCTGTCCGAAGATCTGCTCACAGATGAGAGTTGGCGTATCTTGAGAGGTAAACGCCGGGTGGCCGCGTGTCTCCTAATTCTCGCTGGTGCTTTTGGTATGAGCTTGGTTGGTGCTTGGGCATAAGAGCGGACATAAGAGCGGAAAACGTAAGATATCTAAGAGCTCTGTAGGTAACGGAACATAATGGACATATCTTGCACGTGCGTCATGATAACAAAGTGAATTGGCCCTCCAAGTAGCCAGTAACTTAGTGTGATCTTAGAACTGGCTCAATATAGGTAATGCACGGATAATCCTGCCTTGATATGCTTCTGCAGCCCACTTGGCTTAGTGGTCCTAAGCTTAGTTGGTACATAAGCCGCTGTAACACAGACTAATGTCTGACGAGCACAGACGGTTCCAATCCGCCGGCGGTTTATCGGGACTACGCATGCCCACTGCGAAAGTGATGGCGAAAGAATCTAGTAGAGTTGGGTGTCATACTTCAAAAATTCCACAGCTCTACAACCGATACTGAACTTAACCTCTATGTTAAGTTCAGAAAGCTGATCGTGCGAGGGAAAAGCAATAGTTACGGTGAATATAAATTCGCGGTACAAGGACTGAGTAGTTTAGTCCGCTATACCTCGGGTCTTCGAACCTACTATCTTCATAATAGGCTTCCATAGGACAGTATAATAAACGAGATTAAAAAATGCTTCTGCTACTATGCCAACGTGCCGTAATTACGAATCTTACTAAACATGCTGGCCCATGCCGAAGGCTCATAACGAACCCATCCAAAGAAGAGAACAGACCCAACGACTCACAAAGAATGCATCATAATGAGCGTACACCGAAATACTCATAACGAAATTTCCATGCCGTTAGTCAGTCAGACTTTCAATAAACACTAACCCCCAGGGTTCTGGGTCTGGACATAAAGTCTCACTATTATCTCGTCACCTTGAAACTTCCCATCATGTTTCAACTACTGCTAGGAGGCACTTCGAATCAAAGTATGGGTACGTCTTATTCCCAAGTACGCCTCATTTCAATACCTCTTATGTTTCATAGCAATAAGTTCAATAAGTCTAGAAAGCACATAATTTCAGTCTACGATACATCGTACTCATAATGTGGATGCTTCGAATTTCGAATCCTCCTCTACACATAACCGCTAGCACCCGTTCCGGATCGAGTGGTATGAATGTATCAGAAACAAATACTTATCGCTTGATAACAACGTCTAGTACTCTATTCACCAAATTGCACAACCCGACCGTCGATAAACCGGCACTGATGACGGTCGCCAGGGACACTGCCAATAAATACATCCAGGGCCTTGAGCGAGAGACAATGATATACCAACACCTTGAAGGCAGAAGCATCTCGCCGCGCCATCTGGGCCATGGCATAGAAAATGCGAAAACCATCCAGTTCCTGATCAACCATATAGAAGATGTGACGGAACGAAACAAGGCAGATCTACCAATTTGCGCGAAAGCGCTGCGAAAACACCACGCAGGTAAGAAATCGACCACTTCGACGCATGGCCTACAATATTCTTAGTGCGTGCTGATGAAAGTGTTCTTTTGTTGACTTCGAATATGCGGGATTCGACAAGGGAAACTATAGAAAGCCCTACGACATGAAGCGCATGTTAAATACTTTTGACCGTTGGGCGGTAAATTGATTCTTCGACCATGAGCGCCGGGAAATATTCCCTGTCCAATGACGGATCAAGGAAGCAGGTGAGTTGCTTGAGATAGGCTACCCCTAAAGTTGTGCATACTGGTTGTAAGGTTGATTTCTAGGCTGACGGGAGCTCTAGCTTAATTGCTGCAAAGATGAAGGCGTTAGCGTACCAGACAGTCCGACAGAGGACAAAATGTGACCAAGTGTGACGTTTTACAAGTTTCGCCCAGAACGTGGCTGTGAGCTAACAAAGCATTGGGTCCTCGGTAACTGAATCCAGCGAAGATCACGCCAATCTTCCCCCTACCTAACAAAACGAACGAACCAATTCGGCAAAGTTGGTTTCTAGGCCTAGGAACCGAGACACAAGCTTGGAACTTGATGCCACGTACGACACGGATGTCGCCAAAATGAGCTTGCTGCGGCACAACAGGGCGCGGCATCAAATCCTGGAGAGATCTCTTGTCGGATCTGGAATCAGCCAAGATCACCACAATCCTACGAGGCGCAGGAAAGCCAGCTTGATATAACAGCAGTTTTATGCCTTAATCTAGATACTCCCGGTGGGATCTGCGTACTGAATCAACTTGAATCATTCACTTCACCGACTCCAAAAGGTTCAGACAATCCGATTTGCGTCTGGAATGATACAACAGTCTAAGCAGTGCAGCTTCATCAAACACTATGACAATGTCGACCTCGGCTACTGATGGGTTTGCTACCAGTTCGGAAAGCACCAGTCACGACGACACAGCCAATACAGTTAAGACGAGCTTCACCGCTATTTCGATCGGCTGGATCGTCGGCATCGTCGTTATATTAGTCTTCACAATCGGCTGCGTCGTTGTATTCTTCTGCGTAATCCACAAACGCAACAAAAGGAAGCGAGAGACGCAGGAACAAATGGCCAAGTTCAATCCACAAAACATAGCGATGTACAACAACAGCGCACCATATCAGTATGCGATGCAGTCGGGCACCACAAACACAACTGCAGCAGTACCTTCGCCGCAGCCGAGTCATTCCCTTGCTAGTGAATTGCAAGGACACATTGGACCCCCACCATCCGAGCTGCATTGTAGGGAGCTGCCGCTGATCAAGGAGGCTCCAAACAACGAGTTACACCCGCCCAGATCACAAGATGATGGTTTGAGATATGAATTGAGCAGCGAGAGTCCGCGTATCCAATTTATTGCATAATAGATGGCACGGCGTACTGTAATTGCGAGAAAACGGAAATGATATGCGTTTGATGTGTGCAAGGCCTCCATAGATTAGAACTCGAGGAAGCGCAGAGAGGGTGGCTACTCATTCGAAATGGACATATACCCGGGAGAAAGCTGTACGTCAACGGGAACTGCGAGTTGAGTTGGAAATTAATTACGTTGTAAAAATTTCAGTGTACTAAGGGGAAGATAAGGGCGCCGTTTGCATCTGATGGGCAAGCTTAAAGTTCTATAATCGACTAATATTGGCAACAATGTACTCTACAAACATGTAATAGCGACCTATGAAGTCTATGCCTAGTGTTTAAAGATACATTGACTACTTATCTGAAATATCTCGTTATATCGTGCCATCCCTCGGCAAATGATACTCTATTGATAATAACCAACCTAGGCTCCTCAACCTGCAGTACTGCTTTGCCTTACTACGGGCCCAAACTGTGCTGACGTGGTACACAAAGCACCATGAAAAGGCACAAATGAGCGCTACAATGGATTATTAACAATTTGATTCATTCGGATATTAGAGCTTTTTTCTCTACTACAACTAATTGGCCGGACCTCCCGGTAACTTCAGCCAAGATGATTACCCCGTACTATCTGGTCCGGTACAGTACGTACTCCTGCATCATTATATATCTTCATGTACTTCAACGGCCTTGTAGCCCATTTTGCTTATTAAAAGATTAAGCAGAGAAAATCTAATTCTATACTTTATTATAGATTGCAAGTAGTCCGATAACTGTGGTCACACTTATCCAACAAAGGCTTACATGAAGTCCATTTTTCTCACATTACAACAAACAGCCACACCCACCGTACCGGATCGCCTATGAATTCCAGAACGAATTCCGCATTAGATAAGCACTTGTGACCGAAAACCAAAACCAGTAATACCCCAGCAGACCCAACCACTATCAACTAGTCCAGAAAACACCAGAAGCAGACGATCCCTACGTAAGTTCAAACCTGGCCAGCTGCTAACATGCCTTCCAAGACTAGAGCCATGTCTTCCAACATTCACCATCGCTATGACGCACACACGTGCCAATGCACTCACAGCAGTTGTATGTGCACCGAACTGGTCAGCTCCGCTACTTCGACTTGCCAATCATGCAAGGACGGCTGGCATATTATGAAGCAGAAGCAAATGCTTCTATAGACAAAAGTGCGCGGACCATACTAGATCGTCAGCGCTCATGAAAATGTGAGTAATCAACGTGGTCGTGTAGGTAAGTCACAGAATGGTGCGGAAACAAAAGATGTATTCTGCCGTCTAGTCCCGAAGCTATTACAAGGATTCTGGGAGGTGTGTTTTTGTACTTAATCTTAACGTCACCCACAGGTCATTGCCCCACACGGGTCTTTGCCCAACTTTTCAAGAAATCTTGACTTTCCATCTTTACTTATACAATTCTTCCCTTCCACAACATGGCACGCAAATCTAGTGAAGCTAATCTTCAATTAGCCATCCAAACTAAACGACGCGATCCTCACCTAAGTTGGAACAAGCTTGGTAAAATCTTCAAAGTCGACCATAAGACATTGAAGCGCCGTTACGAAGGCGTACAACCATTACACATTACTAACATGTCCAAACGGAAAATGACCGAAACCGAAGAGAATACGATTACCCGACGCGTAATTGAGCTAGATTCGCGAACTTTTCCTCCCCGGCTTCGATACGTTGAAGAAATGGCGAATATCCTCCGACGCGACCGCGACGCGTCACCCGTCGGCAAGAACTGGGCCTCGAGCTTCGTACGGCGACAACCAGACCTCCGGACGCGTTTAAATCGTCGAATCGATTACCAGCGGGCATTCTGCGAAGATCCTGTCGCGTATCGCGGTTATTTTAAGCGTGTTGCGGACACAATAGCGAAGCACGGCATCCAGCCGGAGGATATCTACAACTTTGACGAGACGGGCTTTTTAATGGGCATGATCTCAACCGGCATGGTCGTTACGAGTACCGAAAGAAGTGGAAGGCCTATGCAAGCCCAGCAAGGCAATAGGTAATGGGTTACTGTCATTCAGGCGGCCAATTCCCAAGGCTGGGCGGTGCCGCCGTACATCATCTTCGCGGCCAAAGTTCACCTCGCTTCGTGGTATCGCGAAACCACATTACCGGGCAATTGGGTCGTTGATCTATCCCACAACGGATGGACAACGAATGATATTGGTCTCAGCTGGGCAGCTCACTTCGATCTGCACACACGCGATCGTACGAAGGGTGTCAAACGCCTCCTAATCTGTCAAGTGCAAATAAGCCACAGTGGCTTGGCCTGGACAGGGGTCAGAAATGTATAACTAGGCTGCTGTGACCCCTCTTCTTTTAGAGAGGGCAGCGATTAACTTGTCGTTATTGAGTCCCCTATACTACGCTATTGGTACCTACCTGGTGACTGGCAGCTTGTTTCGCTTGAGCACTCTCGTCCTTCACTTTGCACTTGAAATCCCGTGACATAATCCTTGACGGTCACGAAAGCCATCACTCGATGGAATTCGAACAATACTGCAAGGACCATGGCATCATTACCCTTCCTGTGCCTGCCCATTCGTCCCATAAGCTCCAGCCTCTCGACTTGGTGCCTTTTAGTGTTTTGAAACGGGCGTACGGTGTGTTTGTTGAGGGTTTGATGCGACGGCATCATACCCACGTTGCGAAGGAGGATTTCCTTGCCGGTTTTTTGGAGGCGTTTGGCGCTGCTTTTACTGAACAAAACATCAGATCTGGTTTCGAAGCAGCTGGAATTGTCCCTTTTGACCCCGACAGGGTTATATCTGCCCTGGGTGTCGCAGAAGTCGCGCGTACACCCTCCGCCGATCCAGAACTCCTACCCCCTATTTGGACTTCTAAGACACCTACTACCACCCTTGAAGCCGAATCGCAGTCAACGTTGATTAAGAATAGCGTTCAGAGGCATCAATACAGCTCTCCGACGCATATTCTTCATTCACTTGACTCGATTGCAAAGGCTACGCATGCAATGATGCAAGAGAATGTTATCTTGCGTCGCGAGAACGAAGAGCTTCGTGAGACTAACCATGTGCTAAGCAAACGTCGCAGAACCAAAACCAAGCAAATACAGTATGGTGGGCCACTTAATATAGAAGATGCACAAGTTCTACGGGCTATTAGGGGTGATACGGGTTTGGAAAGTGAGGAAGAGGGTGAAAGTAGTCGTCCTACAAGGAGGAGGGCAACGGGTGCTAGGCGCTGTGGCATTTGCGGAGGAACTGGACATAATGCGCGAACTTGTCAGGCAGATATAGAAACAGATAATGAAAAGAATTCTGATTAATTTCTTGGATGAATACGGGTTGTTGTTGATCTATCTAAGATTAAAGGTTGGGAGGTCGTGAAAAGTTGCGCAGAGACCCATGTGGGGCATTGACCTGTGGGTGACGTTATCGAAAGATCCAAGTACTAATCCACAAAACCCCACTCGCTCTAAATATGTAATTACATTATCGACTAATTTCTAGATCCAGCCCTTCTGAAGAGATAGCTGCTAGCTTCGTATAATTCTTGCAGTATATGCTGCCTTCTTGCCCTAAAAAGGACAATCGGGTTTCGAGCGGCATTGTTTCTATATCATTCACGGTCAATAGGCACCAAGCATGGTGGATGTGCCTCACTTGCAGAGTAGACGAAGGCGTCTCAACTTTCCCAACACAATATCTGATGGTGCTCAGGTGGTGGGCGCAGTACAAGCCGTTGCATGCCTTCGGCGCATGCATCCATTTCGGCCACATCTATCAACCCGCCGTCAGCAATATAACGGTGGTTGCGACAGCATGAAAGGGTGCTCTCTGACGTCTTGGGATATCCCTTGTACTAATTGCATTCGGGGGTGGTGAAGCTGCTGGATTTGTCGCTGTTGGGGCTGTCGATGGCCATGTAGTAGGGCGTAGGAAGGGATGCTGAAGGAAACTGCCGGCTACGGCTGAGAGATGAAGACACCGCTCAGCTTAGCTTGCTTATAACTCGCTACCCATATCTGCTGAAAGGCTCTGACCATGGTAATTTGGAGAGAAACAGGCTCAGAACAACACAAGAAATTGGAAAAGAAACAATTACAAGTCGCACAGCTTTCGAGCGGGGTCGCACTGGAGAGAGTCGATTCCAGACTGATTATACTACACTCGTCGTGACTGTGCTAATATGTTGCAACAGGCAAGAGATCCGTCCGGGATCACTGCAGCATAGTAGTCGCTGCTGCATATTGAGTAGCAACACGGGCACGAAACAGGAGGGGCGATATATGCAATGCGATGTGGTAGGGCAGGCAAAGAGCGTGTCAGGAATGAACCAATACCTCAAATATTATTGCAAATATTTTCCGGCTGCAGCGGCATGCATATAATTCAGATTAACACAAGGTAGACTGCGTTCTGTATCAAACCATGACGCGCCAGTTTCATTTATTGAACTTTGCAAATTTACCTCATCCGACGATGTCTTAAATAATGCAAATCGATAAATCCTTTGTGGTAGACCCTCGTTATTTCCCAAGATTCAAATGAATCTTCCTCGATGCCGCAGTCTTCTAGCCCTAGAACCCATGATGGGTCGTTGTATAGTGCCTAAGTCATTGCGAAAGAAACGGCATTATTTCCCTGTGCCTGACCTGGAAACGTAAAAATTGCCGTTGATGACTGCGTCAGGACCGTACACTCCCCAGCTTATTGATGTAGTTGGCAGAGAACCGCCAGTGGAACAAGTCAGTCCTGGAAAACCAGAGGACAAGTTCAATGGGGAAAACGAGCTGTATGTCGAAGAAGGGAAATCAGAAGAGAGTTTTCCTCGTGCTTGAGGGATGGAGTACCGTCTGGCCGATCGTAGACATCCAATGGGGTGCTGAACTGGTTGGGGCAGAAAAATGCTCCCATAGGTTGAATGATCTAGGCGTACTGCTGTTGAGCGCTTGGAACCCAATTTTGTCAACAGATTCCCAAGGAGATGTATCGATGGTAAATTTCGGACTCTCAGTTTTGGTTGAAGCTGGTTCGGGCAGTTGTTGGTTGGCCATTGAATCGAGGCGGCCTCTGCATCTTAATGCAGTTTGCCTCATCGGGTCTGCCACCTCAACGCGGGACAAACTGGACCTGGACGCTGGCCACTCTTCTTCCGTGATTAGCCAGCTGAATTGAGTAAGATGATCGTAAGGATCCACGAATGGTGATATTGGCTGCTTGACCCCTGGAAACAGCTGATCCCAAATCTCAAGCCACCTCTGCTTATTGCCTACTCTTGTTCTGCCTGCTTTTTTATCCTTTGCGTGTACCTGCTTTAGATGTTTACCTAGGGCACTGATGGCCTTGAATGTCTTGCCAAAATATGACACGTACCTGTGAGGGTCTCTCTTGTGGTATTCGCATGCAAGGCGGGGTGCTTCAGGGTATTCAGTGCAAGGGCGAGACGTATTTGAATTTCGTCGTTTTTTATCCACGAGCTGTTCTTCGTCTTCTAGAAGTCTCTTTTTATGTGAACACGACGTTGTATCATTAGATATTACTAAGTCGTTGCTGTTCGTGTCAACACAAACTGTGGCTTGGATGTTCAGAAGGCCGCCGGGGGACAGGGTCACTTATTCTGTACCGTCACCGCCACGGATTTTCGTGGAGCGATCTTTGCGCTTTCCTTCGATGAACTGTCCAATAGTAAGCAATGTTCAAGGTTTCACTTCATGCTGTGGTAGAGATAACTTACGGTTCCCACATCGTCATCCTCTGGAATGACCTTCGAAATGACACAGTTGAAATATATTCTTTTAGAGCGCTATGGACAATGCGCGTTGACGGAGACCGTCACTGGACCGTCTCCGCAGAAACACTACGCCAAAATTAGCAATAGAAAACATGAGTCCACGGCCGTCCTGCGCAAGATACTTTAAGTACACAGAATCACAACAGATTTGGCGGGGCCTTTTGCGCCATGCTGCATGCATAGGTCAGCCTGACCATTCACCAAAAAGTGGTACTTTCTAAATCGGCAAAACAGGTTCCGCGATAAGCCAGGAGTATTGCGCTTGGTAGCAAGTTGGTGCGATGGCATGAGCAGGCGACAGCCTTGTCGGCAAACAAACTTGCAAAAACATAATCAGGCTTGCAAACGCAATCTTGAGATAGACAACGACGACGTTAAATTTGGTATCAAACCAGATGGATTTACCTGCCGTATCACGTCGAGGGCCTTCACCTGCAAGTTCTAGGTCTGTATGATCAAATTCGTGATCATTGGGTTTAATGCCCAATCAAACCCTTGCCCAAGGACTTTACCCTGCGAAGAAAATGCAAGTCGAAGCCAACAATTTCATTAGGCGTAAAATAATCTAGCTGCATGAGCTTCTTCCGACCTGGAACTCGCATAGTGATACTGTCTGAATCATTCAACCATGAAAGCAAGCCAAGGATCCTCATTGATTTGTTGGATCAAGAAGCGAATAATGTGTTTTAATCACTAGAAGCCTGATCGAAATATAGCGTTCAAAACACGACTGCACACATGATTCTGATCATGATCATGATTATAATCAATAGCGCTGGTGATCAAAAACAGGATTAAGCCATCGGGACCGTCAGTGTTACGGAAGTTTTGATTATATAACTTGCCAATGATTTCGAATATTTGCAATCTCCAGATCTGAGCTTCAAATGAAGTCGATAACCTTTCCTGGGCGTGTAGTAGTCAATCACCCTGAAGATGACGGCAAAGATGGCGGAGAAGCCCACGGACGACCGTTCTCATCTGACCACCTTGTCCGGTCATCCACTGTGAGTTTACAGGATAAGTCTTCTAACTGGACCAGCACTAGCTCCTGCAGCCCTCACGATGATAAAAACGCCAGTGCAACCTCCACAATGCTTGATAGGTTCATCCGCAGTGGGCCATCAACGATTATTGAAAGACTTTCTGCCGGGGATATATGCACCAGAAATGGGGACAATGATATGGATAAAACATGGAAGTGAAGATGGAGCTTTGGGATAATCGCTGGCGAGCTGTATCGGCGTGGATATCTCTTCTAATTCCATAAGCTTATAACTAAATGAACGAGTGGTACTTGCGCCTTTCCATACATATGAGCACAAGACCGCTATCACATCACTTTTCTTCTGAAAAAGGCGAGCGCTCACCCATTAAAGGAGAGCTTCGCTTCTAATGTCGTCTGAAGTATCAAAAATCAATGTTATATGGGGAATTCTGTCGCCCTTCGTGACATTATTCCGACCATCAGGGCCTCACATATCCTCAACATCCTTCTGATTACCGAACCAACGTTGCTCTTGTGCGAGTATATCATTGCACATGCACCTATCAAAGTTAGGATGCCACTTTCGACCTCTCCTGTGTCCCCGTTTTCGACGAACATCATTTCCGCAGACTTTGGACGTGCAGGAAACGTTGTCTTCGAACGACATGCCTCCGCCAAGACGGTTGAAGTGCCTATCAAGGCATGCCCAGTACTTGAAGGTTCTCTTCGCTGGCTCGGCAACGTTCTAAATAAGGGTGTCCATCAGCTTCTCTCCCAAAAGCCGGCAAGGTACCGATGCGGACCTGATTTTAATTATTGGAGCCTGGTCTTCATGTCATTGGCCAATCCAGATACGGCAACGAGCTTATCGCTGGTCACAGTCAATTTCAGACACGCAGAATAGCTGACCATATGGACCACTGGCATGTCTCCGATCCGGCGCATTCAATAACTGCTTCCAAGGGAATGGATGATGCTGTGACTTTTGATCTGCTTCCTCCTCTTTGTCATCGTTGTCATCTCGACAATTATAGACGCTCTGAGGCTGTGTCTTATAGTAATTTCCTTTGTCGCATTCCCAAAATACCTGCTCACGTACGAAATGCAAGGTAGACTGCATTTTTGGGTGGATAGGAAATATAAGCTAGTACTGGTGGGCTGGATCTAAGTGGTGGTGGCTACGTACAGACTATCTCGGACATTCACTACACCCAAACTTCTCCTCGCCCCCTCTGTCCACTTCTACCTGCATTTGACCATCCTCTATCCTCGTTAAACCAGGCTCTTTCTATTCCAACTATCTCAACAAGAATTTCATTAATGCCTTCATCCTGCTCCAGTCCCTGCCCATTTCTGTGCACACTAACCGACCTGCGTCCTCGACTTCTACTCCTCCCACCATCCTGTCTCACCCGATCAGGCACGTAAAATCGCCTATCAAAACGTATTAACGCATATGTGAAAGAAACCACAATGTCGATTCCAAAGTTAAGCACATAATAACAAGCCTTGTTATCGAACCACTCCGGGTTTTCAGCAGCAGGCGCGGCGTAGTTAGCACCAACGCGAAAACCAGCCCCAAGCGTTAATAGCAACGAGGTTAAAAGAAGTAAGCGGACTTTCACGCGCAGACGACCCGAGCCAAACTTCTTCACGCGTTGGCTGAACAGTCCAGCGGAGAAGAAGACGATCGGCGCGGGGAGAAAGGCCAGAATAGCGAGTACGGTACCTGCGAAGAGCTGGATGGCGTGGTCGATTTCCCGTGCTTGGTTATCTAGAGTGTAAGATATGTGGATGGTGACGACGATGAGCATGATGATCATCATTATCACCCATAATACCGAAGACCGAAAAAACAGATGAACGAACGCCTTATCTCCAAATGCTGGGTGATAAGCGCGGTTCACTCGCTGGGCGAGGAACAGGTTGATGACATAGATCATCACAACTCCAACCTGGGTCAAAATTGATGAGGCGAGGCCGATTCTGGTGTTTGTGGCCCGGGTGGCCCAGACGATGCGCATGACGAGAGCAGTGATCCGAGTTATGCTGAAGCCAAAGCATAGCGTCGAGAAGACGAACTTATGGCCACGGCGGCGGTTGCGCTGGAAAACAGTCATGTGCGTTGCGGCGGATGCAACAAAGAGGGCTAAGAAGCAGGATGCTATGGGTATGTCGGGGAGGATGGAAGGGATGCCGCCGACTTGGGCGATTGATGGAGGGTATGGCGGGCCTGGCTGTTCCGGGTTAAGCTTGTTAGTTGTCAATTCTCACTGGGATGATGGTGAAGGCTGTATACTTACTGAGTCCGCCATGGTAGGCTGATGCGTCTAGTCCCAAGCCAACACTCCCAAGTACAATTCCACGAATTCGATGGTCACTTTCAAGTTAGGGAGAAGTGTTGCAATATTATGGCTTCAGTAGTCGCCTACTTATCATCAACACGACCGGCGATCTCAAGCCTCTGATGATATCCTTGTGTGTCCTAATATGGGCAGCTCCCAAACGCTGATCATATTGGCATCCCGAAGCGCAAGGAAGTTACGGCTCATCCACGATTCAACTATTTATGTAATTGCTATCCAAATGAAATTCCATACTAAACATGTCGGAACAAATTCCAACCTGCCGGCTCTTGTCATAGACTTTGCTACCTGAATCATGACATGCAGTTCTGGGTACTGGTAAGCATGGCATCGAAGCGTCGGTTCAACCTGATTGGCGAGTTGGCATTTCGTGAGCCGGTTCATCCACTACAATCGGCAGTTGCGGAATGCATGTCATTCTCAGCTATCAAGAAAGGGTTTTGCAGTGGTATACTAGGCGGGCTAGACTGACCCATCTGCGCGACTAATGCAACGATACATGCTTAAGTGGTTGGTCTAGGCGAAATTTTCGGTGTGCCATCTCTAGTTCTAGAAGCCAACTTTAGAGGAAAAAAACGACTTTTATCATGGTATCGTCGAACTTAAGGGTTCCTCTAGGTGTAGCAAGTTTGACGTGGAGGTTCTGAGACCTTGCAGACTGAAACGGTCAGAGCTGAACCCGGTATTTAGGATCAGGGGCAGCATAGAAGCCATGGTCGAACCAGCAACGTAAGTCTCGTCTGTAATAAGCAGTTTACCATCTGATTTCGGCAGCTTCTAGCGAAAATTCGCATCATGTCCACGAGTTGCGACTTATTCTCTAGTCAGCGAGGCACGTGCATAGTAAGATATGTATGTTTTTAGACCACACACTTTCGACCATCAGGCTAAGTAGGCAAAACTATTGCCCAGAAGTCCTTCGAATCTCACTAAGATGGTGTGGCTTCGATAACGACCATCTACCTCGAAACATAAGCATACACGAGTAATAAAGTTCACGAGTTGTTTAAGATCTCCAGTACATCACTATAAAGCTTCATAGCAACGAAACAGGCCATCAACACATGTATTCAAAATCAAATAACTCGAGGCAGTTCCCAGATGGAAAACCGTGTATACACTCATGCATTCGTCCTAAGACGCAGACACAGTCGTCTTTTGCGGTGGCAAGATATCCGCCGGCCGAAGCAAGAACTCCATACACGGTGAGCCGACATAAATGGACTTGATTGTCCCAACAGCCATCAGCCAGTCCGGAAGCCGTGGCAGGATCAATCGCCCAAAGGCCCAATATATCCAATTCGCCTGCGACTCCATGCGTGTCTGATGGCCCGAAATGGACATGGCCCACTCCGCGCGCGGCCGCTGCTTTGTCTCGTAGTTGGTAAAGACTTGGGTGATTTCCCCACTGGATGGGCTGGGGCTAGTCTTCAGGAGCTCCACGAGACCGTTGGTTAAATTACATATCCCTTCGAGAGCTAGCTGGCCGCCGAGACCGGTGTTGATTGTGCACTTGGCAGTCTCAGTACGCTGCAGTTCATCAGGGGAAATAGGGGGTGTATTTACTTTGTGCACTGAGTCCCCCATAAGCACAACCCGTCCCCTGCTCCATTTCGTTTTCATCACCCCTTCCTCCAACGCCTTCATATTCGATGACACCCTCGCATCCCACAGGTCTTTAAATGTGCACTCAGGCCCGACATGAGCGCCACCGTACACACGCATCGCCTCCTCGGCATCCTCTTCCCTGTACTTGGGGATAAAAGGAGTGTTGGTGATGTCAGCAGACTTCAGGTAAAAGAACCAGAAAAGCTGCCCCGGCATACCGGCTGCGACTAGTCCGCAATGGTCCTTCCCACTAAAGTCGGCCACATTTGCCTCGGGCATAATAGGCTTGCCGGGCTGGTTCTTGTACTCGTTCTTCGATGTGGCAAAGATGCAGTGGTAATGCGCTGCGAAACCCTCTTTCATCTGCTTAGCCGCTTTAGCATCTCCGTCGACCTTCTCGACTTCATCTGCCACGAGGGACCGAGTGATACTATGGATTCCATCGGCTCCGACAAGTATGCTGCCTTCGAACGTCTCGCCGTTGTCTGCTGTGACGACGATGCCTTCGTCGTTTTGTGTGTAAGAGGCAACCCCTGTGCGGGAGTGAATCTTTCTTTGGTCTTTGATGTGGCTGTGAACTACCTGGAGCCATGTTTGTCGCGACATGAGCAATTGCGGACGATTTGTACTAATGCGCAACATTAGTACAAATCGGATCAGGAGTTGGCCACTATGGTTCGCAAGGTACACACCCGAATGTAGAGGAATAAATACACTCGACTTACACTTTCCTAATTTCAGGTAATATCTGAGATGTATAAAACAGTGTTCCATCCGCCTCATAATGCCCATAATCCTGCAGCGGGTTGATGATAGCCCTGATGTCATCCCAGATGCCCATCTGCTCCATAATTCGCACACCATGGGTACTGAAGCCAATTGATGCACCCAGCTGCGGCGCAATGTCACGCTTTTCAAGGAGAACATAATCGATGCCAGCTTTTTCCAAAACCAAGGCCAGGGACAGTCCGCATATGCTACCGCCGGCGATGATGACCCGGAAGGGCTTGCAGGATGGCGTTGTCACCGTCATGATGCACTAGGTCTTCAAACAAATATAAAGCGGGAAACAATGCTTGATGTCACATTCATGTGAAGATGAGCTGAGGCGAGAAGATGAGAGACTACTTAACCTAAGACGGCCCCTCCCATTTCTTGTTGAACCAACAGCTCTGGTCCCAAGGGGGGGAAGAAAAAAGTCCACTTGCGTGCCCCAAGTCAGTCAATGACGAGATAAGGCCACAAGAAATATGTACGCAGTACACCCAATCAGTGCTCGGAGAGATGTTGCTAAGGACTCTAGGTCGTACAGTGTGGCCGGTTCCGATGTCACCATACCTGAGAATTGATAGGGTGGCCTGTCGGGAGTATTGCCCGCTCGTCACAGCAAGCTAGGTAAGTCAATAACCGGGGTACCATTCCTCATAAGAAGCAATGATCGGGCCGGCATGGGATTCGAGTGGACGGACAAGCAGCGTTTTGGGACGGGAAAACCCCAGATGGAAGCACCAAGATTCGATGACTCCAATCGTGGTGGATCAAAGAGAACAATAGCGAAAGAGGCACATCCTTATACCGTTGGGTAGAGAATCTAGATCGAGTCCAGTACTATTCGTCCTGGATGTTGCGTATGGTCTATCAATTTTTGGCCTTCTCAACTCTGCAGTGTGGCATGGCCTTTTACGTGAGGCACAGCCAGGGGTCACGCGTCACGATGGTAGGAATCATTAGACTGCGGCGAGTGCATGCTGCAGCAGGGCTCACTTGCTTTCGACTATCGATCGGCATCCCGGTTTGCCGGCTGATTACTGGCATACGAGCGAATTTTATAAACTATTGCGCAGGGTTCAGATGTGACTAGTCACATGAGTATGAGCGTAAACTGACCAGGTACAAAAACCAAGTTCTTAGCAAAAGTTCAGCAGGTACTTAAAACATAACGCGCTCCGAGGTTCAACATATGTTGAACTTAAGTAAGGCCTTTTTTCTAAATTAAAATAAACGGTAACGTGGAGGTGGGAAGGTACGGTCAAGTACAGGGCTACAAAACCCCGCCCCAAAACCAGAAGTAACCATCATAGAAGAAGAAAAAAAACATCCTTTTTTGGCCTTCATATAAATCTCGTGGTTTAACACCGAGTCGCGCACTTTTTACCACACTATAATTTCAAGTTCAATTAAAAAGCCACAACAGACTAAAGTTTATTGAAATTTATTCAGAGCTATATACATCTGACAATTATAGTTCGACCTGACAAATCTTTACATTATGTCCGGTCTTCTTACACTTACTACATCGTCGTACAGTCGACGGACCAGCCTTTTCTTTACCCCCCCTAGAGCGCTTGTCCTCCTTTACCTGGGCCTCCGCGTCCTTCCGGGCCAAAATGTCCAGGTCATCCTCGACAGTAAGTGCACCTCCTTGCCGGACACGCGATTTTTTTGCCCTCCGACGCTTGCTTAGTGCCTCATTTGCCTTGCGAAGGGTGGAGCACTCAGCCTTCAAGAGGGTGTTCTCATGGACTAATCGAGTTATACCCTTCGCAAGGTGGCCAACAGCATCGAAAATTGGGGTCGGAGAGCTTCCCTGATGTCTGGCGATTCGGCGATTGACAAAATCGGACTGCGAGAGAGCCTCTGTCGGGTTATTTGGCGTTTGCGAAACCCAAGGGTCAGCATCTAGAAGAGAGGGGCTAACGGGTGTAGGCGACCGAATCCTAACATCTGTCACGACCTGGGTTGCATCGCATTGGTATAGACCTCGATTAGGTGCTATCGACGAAGATTCTACTCTAAGGAGCGAAGGAAAGAAGATGACAACTTAGGTTTGAGGGGGGCGCGACTAAGTCGTCCACGCTTGGCGGGGCTCCTGCAGGGGTTATGATTGGCTTCCCACCTGGCACTGCCATGGCAGGTGTTCCAGCTGTATCACCTGGTTGTAGTGAGTCTGCGAGGGTTGACCTTCACAACATCCAGCTTCGAGATAACGGCTTCAGGGTCGTGGGGGACTAGGCCGGCCCCTCGAAACCCTGCCTTGATGTTTTTGTCGGTTATTGTCTTTAAATAAGCCTCCTTAAAGGCGATAAAGAACTCGACCTTAGTAATGTGGTTAATATGGGACTTGATAAATATATCAATCTCTCGACCGTATATACGTTTCAAGACCCCAAAGCACCTGACATCAAGTGGCTGGGTTAGATGAGACGAGGGCGGGGGCAGACTGATAGTAAAAAAATATTAAATACGCCGTAGGTGTTAACCCTCGGTACCTCTACAAGTACTCCCTTAAGGGGCTATAGATGATATAGCGGGCCCTTAAGCCGCGTCGGGCGGTTATACAGGTAAACTTGTAGCCAAACGACTACTAAACCTCCTGTCCCTCCCTAAGTCTGTGCTACAACCCCTGCCTGAACTACCGATAAGCGTGGTAATGTGGCACTTAAATTCGTCCTCAGGGGTGGGATGCTGCTGATGTGCAGAAGATGCTCGACTATTTTTTGTCGCGACAAGTCGTAGTATCTGCTAATTGGGGTTCTCGTCGAGCGTATACATCTCAACCATACGCTCAAGTGGATAGACCGTAACGTGGTCTAGACGCTCGCAAGAATCGCGGCGAGGGGGCGTGCTGCGCGCCTTCTATCGTGAGGGGACGGGTTCGCCGACGAGCGTTATCGGATAGGCGAGGTCCGATAAGGGGCCGGATTAACGATTCGAATTCTGGACCGGCTGTCGAGTTATATTCCGCCGACGTAGTGCTTGACGGTCGACTGGCTAGGATGCTCGTAATCCTAAACTGCACCAATCTCCCTATTATCGCTAGGTAGGCGAAGTCAACAAGGTGGGCAGCGCGCCGTAAGGGTTGACTAAACCCCCTTTGTGTGTCAGCTGCGGGATTCGAACCCGCGACTCGTCACCGACCCAAGTGGGCGAGGCTCAAATCGGGACTTATCTACCAGCAAAGTGACCAACTACACCAGCCGACGACTGATAGTAATAATGCCGTTAGACTTGCAATAAGACTCGAAATCAGCCGATGTATGACTCTCATGCCCGTCCAATACTAACAGCCGATACACGCCTCTTTTGGTCGAGATAGTGTGCTTGTTGAAATGTTTGATCCAGTCTAGACCAGTCTCGTTGTTCGTCCACCCGTTTTCGGTCGGTTTGACTACCCAATCGGCTGGTAGGTCCCCCTCAGTATACCAATTAGCAAGGTGATAGTTCCCTTGAATTACCAGAAATGGCGGGATGTCGCGACCCTCCGAATTGACACAGGTAATCGCCGTGGCCCATTCCCGGTTACCTGGCTGGACCTTCTTGCCTCTACCATTACGTTCAGACGAGGTAACGACCATCGAGCGTTGAATAACGCCCATCATAAAGCCCGTCTCGTCGAAGTTCCACATATCGCAGTCCTGGATCTCGTATTTGGCCCTCATATTCGATACAAGCCGGAACCAGTCCTCAATAATCTTTGGATCCTCGCAGAGGGCCCTCTGGATGTCATACGAGCGAGAAAAACGCGTCTGTAACTCTGGGGTTCGCTTTACAAAGCGATGCGCCCAGAGCTTGCCAACGCGTCGGGTACCCCGCGTCGCAAGAATGGAATTGGCCATATCTTCCACGCCCTCTAGCCGGGGAGGAAACCCTCTCAAATCTAGGTCAAGTACATGCTGAACAATAGCTCTTTCCTCTATCTTGGCGAGTAGTGCGCTATTCGGCCAGATTTCGGTACGTGGGGTGCGACCGTGGATTCTGTCACGGAGTGAGGACTCGGGTACACCGTATAGCTTTGCTGCTCGACGTTGGCTCATATTTTTGGTCGATCGGATAGCTTCGATGGCAAGGTTGATTTTGGCTTCTTGGGTTTGAACTGACATGGTGTTGTTGTTGAGGAAATAAGTGTTGAAGTCAAAAGGTTGGAAAAGTTGAAAAAGTGCGCGACTCGGTGATATGCGCGACTCGGTGTTAAACCACGTTATTTAGACTGTATGCTCACTACCTATAACTAGGTTCAATCCCTATCTAGTAGCTCGCGGAGGAGTAATCCTATAGAATCCGGATATAAATAGATTTCGATACTAAACGTAGTACGCTACTATCTTCCGTTCTGAGGAAAGCAGCTAGGGGCGAAATAACAACACAATAGGTAAGCGAGTCATGGAGCGGCATATGCCGGAGACATACTGTAACGGGGTAAGGCCGGACATCAGGGAAATAGGTTACGGGGCTAGGAGAAAGTTTATTTTCTCTTCTTTAAGAGGCACAGGCAGAGTAGGACACGAGTCCCCCATCTTCACGCATCATCGTCTCCTTCTTATCTATATCTTCACCTTCGCTTTTCAGTCAGTTATTTAGTTATTTTGGTTATTCAGCTTATCTTTACGTTCAAGATCCTATTATCACGATACGAGTATCAGAGGCACATTCGACCAACTCGCGCACCAGACGTATAAGAGCGAAGCTCTTATAACTAGTACCACGATCTTTGTCTGATCAGACCAACAGATAGATCTATTAGTACTGGAGCGGTCTGTTCAGTGTGTTAGGTGGTAGGTATATCCTACTGACCGCCTGACCCCGTTTCAATACACGGTATAAACAGCAAAGCTTGTGAGAAAGAAACGGCGATAAGAGCCAAGAACGGCATGATTTCCATAATCGCCTATGTTTACCACTGTGCCATCCCGAAGCTATCTGTAATAACCCTCCATCGATCCTAGGAGGCAAGAGGATCCGACCATTTAGAGTACCCCTGACGCTCGCATGGCCCCTTTCGGCTCACCATAATATTCTGAAAGGATTAATATGACACAAGGACAACTGATTCATGCTTATGATGCCTGGGCAATCTATGCAGAATTAATTTCCGTATGGGGCCAGGGATGAACCGGTCATAGTGCTTCCAGGGCTCGGGGGCAAGGACAAGTAGGGCAACATGTCATGTGCGGCACGACCGTGTCTGCTGACTCATCTAGTCCTCCTTCCAGTCCACATTCCTCTTTTTGTTTTTCCTTCGTGAACCGCGTTTTCCGCTTAGCACCCCCTCCGTTTTCTAAATATCAGAACTTTTAGTTTGGGGTATAGTGGGGTCTCTATACTGTGTGGCTAGTGTATAAGAAGAACTGGTTAGTACTTGGCGAAGCTTCTGTAGCGCCGCAAATGTATCTGTACCGAAATAGGTCTGGAAATCTCAGTATATATAGCCCTTCTTCACCTTCTGCCTCAAACCACAGTCTTTCCGGAGCATACCAATCCCGAGTCGCTCGTATCCATCCTGGTTCAAGAAAGGCCTGACAAACAACACAAAATACAAGTAGCCATCCACATGGACCCTCTTTCGCTTGGCAACAACAACTACGCACTGTACCGTGGGAAGGCTATCCTCCTCACCAATATTGATCCATCCTTTCTTCGACCCTATCGTATCTACAAGTTCGTGTCGCACACCATCGCTCTTCTCTTCGATCGTCATACCACTGTCTGCGAACTCCCACACAGTGGCCATCAGGTATTCGACAGCGGCGGTTGGGTTTTGGGTACTGAGCTCAAGGCCGTTGATCAGATCCAAATCACCATATTTATCGTGCACGAATTCGACAGGCCATTCGAAAGCCATCCAAGACCATGAAGGCACCTTAGAAGATGTGTACTTAATCCTTCCCGTCTTCCCCGTCTTAGGGCCCGGCGACCGTTGCCAAAGAAGGGTTCTGTGTCGATACCACTCAATAATGCCGTGATGTACCGAACATGGTAGCGACTTTCCGATCCGGAGCATCAACCCTGAGATAGCAACGGCTCTGTCGGTTGGTACGGATATGTCACACTGCGTGTAATCCTCGATTAAAGATTGAAGTAATTTCAAGATGGCATCAAAGCTCGAAGAACGAAGGCGATCCGGAAATTGCGGGTCAAGCTTGAAGTAATGCTGCGTTTCACGCTCACTAAAATGAGATTCAATGGTTAGTATATCCAAGTGTTGAGAGTATGAATTTATTCTTACCACATTAGAAAGATATTCTCTCCTGCGTAGACCCCTTTCCCGTATTCCCCATATATTTGATTCCTACTGAAATGAATTGTTCGTGGTGAGAGCAATCGCTCTTGCATTATCCAGGCTCGACGGTTAATATTGGCTTCATTAACATCGTTGTCAAAGTCTGCTAAATTTGCCGAGACGTAGGTATATTGCCCTGGTTGATGTTGAACATAGATAGCCTGGTTGTTTACAGGTTTATCCAAAAAACCAGCGTCGGAGTTTTCAGCCGATGTTGCAGCTATCGTGCAATATGCCGAGGCGAATACCTGTTCCATTCGTATAGACTCTTGCTCCCAGTCGCTGTCTGAATCTTGGAGGATACAAAGCGAGTCAACCCAAAGATACTGGACGCTAAGCTCACGAGTGACCACGACGGCATCCTGGAAGGTCTTTGGGAGTTCGCTTATTTTGAATCCTTTTTGACGAGTTCTAAGGTTATCCTTAGTTGTACAATGTTGCGGAGTTCTGTTAGGATCAGATTCACCCCAGCAATGAGACAAAGCAATATATCGTGGTTGCCCTCGTATTTTACCCTTGGGGCCCTCCGGGTTTCTAAGCTTGTATTCAACTTGTTGAAAAGATGGTCGGGAAAAACTATCAATACGTAGTTCGTCCAATTTGCCAGATGGATTAACGTTGAGAAGGCGTGTCGGTAATACGAATTCGCTGTGGTAATTCTGAATCTGATGCTGTTGACATTTATGGTCTTGATCGCATTTGGCGAGCCAAGCTTGCAGTAGTTGAATAGCTGAGACGTTTCGGAAACGGGCGGGCGTGCTTCCTGATTCTCTGAGTCCTGCAGCAAAAGTGTGATTAGCTGGTAAACAAACTGAATATGTAGAGGAGGGGGAAACGCCGTACTCGGGTATAATCGAAGGATAGGTACAGATATGGGGGATCCATTGGAACACAATTCAATTAATGAATTTGTGTTCCTGACGGATATGTCTGATAGGTTGGCTTCGAATTTTCTGGCTTGATTGAGGACTAAAGCGCACAAGGGACACAGATCTGTGCCATCGAGCAGGTTTGACAGTTTGATTAGTCGGTTAAGGGTTAGAATTGGTTCGCAATTAGAGCATATATTCTTCGGGAAGGGGCTTTGCCCCGACGACCAGCTCTCTTTAAAGGTGCGACAGAACTCATCATCTACGTAATAAGTCCAATGCTCTCTGGGGGTCTAGTACAAAGGCAAGTGTCAGTCCATATGCCACAGCTCGGGATAGCCAGGCAGCTACTTACATTCTATTCTCATTAGATAAGCACGCGTCAGTCTATATCCTACAGCTCAGGATAGCCAAGCAGTTACTTACCTCCCATTCCCATCAGATAGGTAAGCGTTAGTCTATATACTACAGCTCGGGGTAGCTAGGCAGTTACTTACACTCTATTCCCATTAAAGAGGCAAACATTAGTCTATATCCTAGAGCTTAGGATAGATAAGTAGCTACTTACGTACTATTCCCATCAGATAGGTAAATATTAGTCCATATTCCACAGCTCGGGATAGCTAGGCAGTTACTTACACGCTATTCCCATTAGACATGCACGCGTTAGTCTATATCTTACAGCTCGGGATAGCTAGGCAGTTACTTACGTTCTATTCCCATTAAAAAGGTAAACGTCAGTCTATATCCTATACCTCGGGATAGCTAGGTAGCTACTTACGTGCTATTCCAATTAGAAAGGAAAGCGTCAGTCCATATCCTATAGATCAGGATAGCTAAGCAGTTACTTACTACCTGTTCCCATTAGATAAGTAAGCCTTAGTCCACATCTCACAGCTCGGGATAGCTAGGCAGTTACTTACGTACTATTCCCCTCAGATAGGCACGCTTAGTCTATGTCCTATAAATCAGGATAGCTAAGCAGTTACTTACTAGCTATTCCCATTAGATAAGTAAGCCTTAGTCCACATCTCACAGCTCGGGATAGCTAGGCAGTTACTGACACTCTATTCCCATTAAAGGCCAGCGTTAGTTTATATCCCACAGCTCGGGATATCTAGGCATTTACTTACGCCCTATTCCCATCAGATAGGTAAACGTTAGTCTATATCCTACAGCTCGGGATATCTAGGTAGTTACTTACATCCTATTCCATTAGATAGGCACGCGTTAGTCTATATCCTATAGCTCGGGATAGCTAGGTAGTTACTTACATCCTATTCCCCTCAGATAGGAACGTGTTAGTCTATATTCCATAGCTCGGGATAGCTAGGCAGTTACTTACGCGCTATTCCCATTAGACAGGCACGCGTTAGTCTATATCCTACAGCTCGGGATATCTAGGTAGTTACTTACATCCTATTCCCATTAGATAGGCACGCGTTAGGCTATATCCTATAGCTCGGGATAGCTAGGTAGTTACTTACATCCTATTCCCCTCAGATAGGAACGCGTTAGTCTATATTCCATAGCTCGGGATAGCTAGGCAGTTACTTACGCGCTATTCCCATTAGCTAGCGTTAGTCTATATCCTATAGCTCGGGATAGCTAAGTAGCTACTTACGTACTATTCCCATTGGATAGGCACGCGTTAGTCCATATCCTATAGCTCGGGATAGCTAGTTAGCTACTTACGTACTATTCCCATTAGATAGGCATACGTTAGTATATATCCTACATCTCGGGATAGCTAGATAGCTACTTACGTGCTATTCCCATTAGCTAGCGTTAGTCTATATCCCATAACTCGGGATAGATAAGCAGTTACTTACGTACTATTCCCATTAGACAGGCACGCGTTATTCTATATCCTACAGGTCGGGATAGCTAGGCAGTTACTTACTAGCTATTCCCATTAAAAAGGTAAACGTTAGTCTATATCCCACACCTCGGGATAGCTAGGCAGTTACTTACGTACTATTCCCATCAGATAGGTAAACGTTAGTTCATATCCTACAGCTCGGGATAGCTAGGTAGCTACTTACGTGCTATTCCAATTAGAAAGGAAAGCGTCAGTCTATATCCTACAGCTCGGGATAGCTAGGCAGTTACTTACCTCCTATTCCCCTCAGATAGGCCACGCGTTAGTCCATATCCTACAGCTCGGGATAGCTAGGCAGTTACTTACACGCTATTCCCATTAAATAGTCACGCATTAGTCTATACCCCACAGCTCAGGATAGCCAGGCAGTTACTTACGCCCTATTCCCATTAGATAGGCACACGTTAGTCTATATACTACAGCCCAGGGTAGCTAAGCAGCTACTTACCTGCTATTACCATTACATAGGTAAGCGTTAGTTTATATACTGCAGCTCGGGGTATTTAGGTAGTTACTTACACGCTATTCCCATTAAATAGGCAAGCATTAGTTTATATCCCACAGCTCGGAATATCTAGGCAGTTACTTGCATCCTATTCCCCTCAGATAAGCACGCATCAGTCTATATCCTATAGCTCGGGGTAGCTAGTTAGCTACTTACGTACTATTCCCATTAGACAGACACACGTTAGTCTATATCCCACAGCTCGAGATATCTAGTTAGCTACTTACGTACTATTCCCATCAGATAGGCATATATTAGTCCATGTACTACAGCTCGGGACAGCTAGGTAGCTACTTACGCGCTATTCCCATCAGCCGGCGTTAGTGGATATCCCACTACTCGGGATAGTTAAGCAATTACGTACTAGCTATTCCCATTGGATAAGTAAGCCTTAGTCCACATCTTATAGCTCGGGATAGCTAGGCAGTTACTTACGCGCTATTACCATCAGACAGGTAGACCTTAGTACATATCCCACAGCTCGGGAGAGCTAGGTAGCTACTTACGTACTATTCCCATCAGACAGGCACGCGTCAGTCCATATCCCACAGCTCGGGATAGCTAGGTAGCTACTTACGCTCTATTCCCATCAGAAAGGTAAACGTTAGTCGTTGTCCTTCAGCTCGGGAGAGTTAGGTAGCTACTTACGCGCTATTCCCATCAGACAGGCACCCGTCAGTCCATATCCTACAGCTCGGGATAGCCAGGCAGTTACTTACGCCCTATTCCCATCAGACAGGTACACGTCAGTCCATATCCCACAGCTCAAGATAGCCAGTGAGTTACTTACGTCCTATTCCCCACAGATAGACACGCGTTAGTCCATATCACACAGCTCGGGGTAGCTAGGCAGTTACTTACGTTCTATTCCCATCAGATAGGCGCGTATTAGTCCATATCCTACAGCTTAGGATAGCTAGGTAGCTACTTACCCACTATTCCCATCAGACAGGCACGCGTTATTCCATATCCTACAGCTTAGGATAGCTAGATAGCTACTTACCCACTATTCCCATCAGACAGGCACGCGTTAGTCCATATCCCACAGCTCGGGATAGCCAGTTAGCTACTTACGTTCTGTCTCAAGCAGGCAGCCTAGCGTCAGTCCATATCCTACAGCTCGGGATAGCCAGGCAGTTACTTACGCCCTATTCCCATCAGACAGGTACACGTCAGTCCATATCCCACAGCTCTGGATAGCTAGTGAGTTACTTACGTCCTATTCCCATTACGCGTTAGTCCATATCCCACAGCTCGGTGTAGCTAGGCAGTTACTTACACGCTATTCCCATGAGACAGGCAAGCGTTAGTCCATATCTCACAGCTCGGGATAATCAGGCAGTTACTTACCTCCTATTCCCATCAGACAAGCACTCATCAGCATAAGCCATACTTGATGAATTTCAGATCACTAACTTCCTAATCACAGGCTTAGATAAAGGGTTGCGTTTTGTAAGTCTTGTACATCGTACATTCTACGATATGGTTGTCAGCTTCGACTTTGTAGACTTTATTTGAATAGGGGAACATACTTGGAACAGGTCATCACTTAAATTGACCATCATATTATTAGATGAGCCTGGCAGTGTCTCCATGTTTCCAAGGGCTTAGGTATTTTGATCTTGGTCCTTGTTGTAGAACGATGCTAGATCTCGACGAGTTGTTTCCTTCAAGCGCTGAGGACAAGCGGCGTAATCCATGCTAATTATTATCGTTGGACAAGTTCTTCGTCGCCTGAGGCACCCATACAGAGTGCCATCGGAGGAAGGGTTGGATATCCCGAAACCCGCATCCTGGACCGGGTCATCACGCGGCGAACTGTAATGGAGGTTACAGCATAGTTCTGTTGTAGGTCAGTATCGCGACTACAGTGCGGTCATGGCCACAGACTAATTATGCTGTTTGTGCCTCAGGCTGAATAGTTCCCGACAAGGCTGCTATTAGTTCAGTTGGAGCGGTTCGCCGGAAGCCAAGACCTGCACTGTGTGTCATATTTACCCCGTACTACGCCAATTTTGAAACCATTTGTAAGCCTGATTGTGGGACACTACATTCGGCCCTCACTATACTGTACATACCTGGCTGTAGCGGTCCATTGTCACCGCCAAACATGCGTCGCGACAACTTGCTAAGGACTTACTATTACTTCTCATGTATCAGCTAGGCACTGTGTAGAGACTACTGTTACCCAAACTACAACCTCTGACTAAAACCGATCGCTGAACTTGAACCCTACTGTCCTCTGCCGCATCATTTCGCTCGTTCTTGTTATCTTCGGGAGACTGGACCAAACAAGATGATTATCTAACACATATAACTATGGGCACTCCTCGAACTATCCCTCAAGCCCCCCACACTGGTTCCCCGTCGACTGCTGCGCGACCTTGAAAGTCCTCGCCTTCGCTAGTTCAAGATATCATCACCAAGTCTCTATATATCGTGGCATCGGCTGTGAAGAGGGCGCTACTTTCGGGGCTAAAATTGGCAATAATGAACCCTTGTTATTAAAGCCGTATGTTAATAACATTGCCTTCATGTCTTCGTCCCGACTCCTGGGATTTGATCTCGACTTATACTGCCTTAGTTCTGGCATACTCAACTAGCTAAGCCTCGGCCTATAATGATACGTTTTGCATTTGAGGAGGAATGCCGTAACGTTGCGTTGGTCGAAATGATTACGTCGGCCGAACAACGCGCCCGTGATACCAGGCTGGTCATAATCTTGGAGGGCGACGTAAAGACCTAAGAAGAGGCCGAAAGGAACATAAATGCCTTCAGTGATGAGGCATGTAATGGTTAAATACCCTAGACGCGCTGCGGCAGCCCTGACCCCTGTTACTGGAGGACAATAGCCGACAACGTTGACTAGCACTGGGCCATTATCTATTAACATTTGCCTGCAGTTAAGACGGATGTCACCCTTGATCAAATACATCCCGATTCCTTCCACGCCACGTGCTTCGATGTGGAGGTTTACAAGGCGTATAACTGGCTTGGGGCAAGTTGGCTGACTTTGGCGATATATGCCCCCCTTGTACACCGTATCAGAAGAAGAAACTACATCATCGGCGAGACGCTGAAATTTGCTTTCAAGCAAAGAGCATTAGCGTGCCAGATACATCATACCTGCTTTGTTAACAGGGCTAGGGTACATAAGGAGGGCGCTTTGGCGGGCGAGTTCGCCGGCTACGAACCCGTTACCCTGATCCAGGGCGATGTGGTTCTTGTCAGCTGCCATGCCACGGCGGGATTTACGCAGTTCTTGTATATCAGTGGAGGTGCGGATGGGTTTGACATTTACCTGTTGTCCAGGGCGGTGGAGTGGGAGTATGCGACGTACCCTACGTACCCTGGGTTCAGCGAGCAGTAATTCCTGGCGATGACTGGGGATACTGCTTATGTGACTGAAGAAACATCCGACTTGCATATTTCCCAAGTTTGCCAGCCCCCTAGCCCCTGACTTGAGTCGGAATGCTCCTAACCGACCAGCCCGAGTGCCTTTCACGGCATCCCCGCGCGAAACCCCTTCCCTTTGTTTACACGAGCCGCAAGCCGCATGAAACCATCTGCCGATTTTGGGAAACGATAATACCCTACATATATATGTGGAATATGCCACATACCCATTGGTGAATATCTCACAATGCCAAGCCGCATGAGGCCGCTTCTCTACGAGAGTGTACCATATGCAATCTATATCAGCAACAGCCTTTCCGTCTGCTTGCAGATACCTGCGATATCGCCACGATAGCCTGCAAATGTTTGCTCTGTAGGGTTGAGGAATCCTGATATGTCAGTGCAAGTCGACCTCGTACGCACATTATCAAAGCAATCACCAAATCGAATCTCGGCGCTGGAGCGCAACCACAACCTCACAGTTTGCGTCATCCTCAAGACTATGCACCGTTCAACTGATCAATTGAGCTCAACGCTACCTAGTCTCATTGCCAGTTGTCCATTATTTTACTGCCCGTCATCTCGGGTTTCTTGGTGGCCACAATGCATGGTACAGTTGAGCAAGGAAGCCAACCGGGCCGCATACCATTTACTCCTTGTGCAATCAGTCATGGGTGCGCTGACAATGGCACGCAATGAAAAGGCGGGCAGTTCCATATCTCAGATCGGCAGCGGGACCAGATGCAAACATACGTGAGACCGGCCTGGCTTCGCTCCAGGGTATTTGACATCCGGAGCAACATTCCAAACGAGACAGCAAGACACGAGGTCTCGCAAGACCAAGATGATGTTGGCCATCTTTGTACGATCCGAAGAAATCAGGGGGTAATGCTAATAGTGGCCAATACGGGACAAGTCGATGCGGAGCCCAACTGCTGCCAATGCTCAAACCCCAAGTATCCAGACATTCACTTGTCGTGCTGCAGACAGCTACCGATACAAGGACCAGGCAGCACTGCGACATGATCATCGGAAGTTGTTGTCGAACCGCTTGAATGTGTAACCGATGAAGGGCAAGCTCATCTCGGGCGTCTCCTCCACAGCCTTGCCGTTAGCAATGGCCTGGGCCTTGAGCACCGTCGCGTTGTCCGTCTGGTCGATCTCGTCGGTCGGGAAATACGTGGTATCGATAGCAGATGTCAGGCGAGGCTCGAACGGCGCCCTTATGCGGCGCAGACTGTCGAACTCGACTCCCCGGAAGAAGGAATGGGCCTTGATATCCTGAGCGCCTTGTTTGCCGAGTCGGTTCTCCGTGTTACAGATTAGACTGTTGTGGGGTTAGCGCAGGGGAAGGGGGCTTCATCATCATGGCGAATTGGGCCGAGACTCACCTCCTGATCAAATGCTCGGCCTCAACACCCAGTGTTATATCGTCGGGAAAGTAGAGCGACTGCCTCCAATTTACGATCTTGCGGTAAGTGTCGTGGCTGTCCTCGGCGCAGAAGGGGGGCCAGCCGACAAGACACTCGAACATGATGGTGCCCAGGGACCACCAATCGCAATCAAACGAGTATCCATGGCCTGTGAAGATCTCCGGGGCGATATAGTCCGGAGTGCCGACGGTCGAGTACGCCATCAATCTTCGAGACCGTCTCCAGTCGTTGATCTGGGCACGATTGCTGACGGTGAGGTTGATCTGGTCAATGGCCACAGAGCTCCTATCTCTCGGCCGGTTTGACTTGCCCTGAAGAAGCTGCTGGTAGTAGTTGTTGTCATGAAGCTTGTGGAAGCCAGTGGACAGACCAAAATCAGTCAGCTTGACGTGGCCGCCCCGGTCGAGAAGGATGTTGTCGGGCTTGATGTCACTGTCATTGCGGTCGGTCAGACGTCGTCACTCAGTACGTTAACGCGCGTGGCATGTACTAACCGGTGGATGAAGCCCAACTTGTGCACAGCTTCGATGGCGAGCACTATCTCGGCAATGTAGAAGCGTGTGATGTCCTCCGAGAAGATCTCATACTTAATAAGCATAGTCATCAGATCTCCACCAGGCAAGAACTCCATCAACATGTAGAGGAAGTTGGCGTCCTGGAACGTAGTGAACAGCTTGACCACCCAGGGACTGTCCGACTCGGCGAGAATGTCTCGCTCGGCCCGCACGTGGGCCAATTGGTCCTTCTTGAACATTTCCGTCTTGATGAGCGACTTCATGGCGTACACCTGGTTGTCGGCCCTCTTCTGCACCAGCTTGACCTCACCAAAAGCGCCCTTGCCGATGATCTTGATGGTGGCGTAGTTCTCGGGCTTGTCCTTGGTGCGCAAGAAGCGCAGGTACCGACCCTCCTTCTTGCCCCCGTTCTGCCAAATCTGTTCGCGCCTCGCCGCGTTTTGGTTGGGGTCGCTCAACTTTTGTTCCATCTCGCTCTGCCGAAGGTTGCGCTCGCGGGCTCGCTTGACGCTGTCCTTGAAGAAATCAGCGGCCAGCTGAGAACACTTCTTCTGGTTGTTATTGGCGTTGGTGCCGTACTTCTCGGGGTTTCGCTCGGGTGCCGGTTGGAAGTCGGGCTGGCGCGGAGTTTGGGACGGCATCGGGGCGTTCAGGTAGCTGTTGTAGCTGGCCTGCTGCTGTTGGTGAGCCGACGAGCCAGCCGTTCGCGGTCGCTGGGCGGGCGAAGGACCTCTCGCACCGTAAGAGGCAGCGCGGGCGGCGCCTCCCAGGTTCTGGTGGGAGAACTGGTGAGCAAGACCAACATTGGGATCATTGGTGCCCGGAGTGCTGGATCGGCCCTGGTATTGCTGGCCCTGGCCGTAGTCCTGGCCCTGGGGCGGGGCGTACTGCGCCGGGTACTGGTTCTGACTCTGGCCCTGGTTCTGCATGAAGTAGTTGGCGTTGGGATATCCCCCTTGGTATGGCTGGCCGGACGGCTGTTGCTGCTGGGCAGAGCCCGACTGCTGGTTCGGGAAGACGGGCTGAGGAAAGGTCGAGGGCGTCGTGGGATAGGTTCGATCCGAGGCAGCGAGTCGGTCGTTGTTGTTCCCAAAGTTGAGGTACAGACGGTTGTTGGGGTCCATGGTGTCCGCGGGAGATGGGACGACGGCTTATCGCTATCAAAACCTGGACAGGTTGAAGGGGGGGAGCGGCAGTTGTGACGGACAGCAGAGTCGGGTCGAAGGTTGGATCGGGGCGTGCAAGTACTGCGAGGCGCAACGAGTCAGGCAATCGAGCTTGCGGTGACTTTGACTTTGATACAATTCGTTGAATGCGAATGCGAGACTGAGAACCGTCTCCCCGATTTTGTCTGGGAAGAAAGAAAGTCAACAGGGAGAGGGGGGAAATGCGGGCCGAGCGTTGTTCGAGGTTGAGGTTGGTGCCCAGCAGCAGCAGCAGCAGCGGGGCAGAGAACGTCTCAGGCTTCGTGAATTGGTGCTCAAATCATGAAATCGTCCATGGAAAATACATCCAAGGCTGGCTGGAAAAGTCAGGTGCAGGAACCAAAAAAAAAGAAAAAAAAAATAAAGACACTAAAGAAAAAAAGCTACCGATCTGGCTCCAGTCCTGAAGAGTGAAGAGAATTGACCGGTTCAGTGTTCACCGTTCCTGGTTGTCATTGAACCCCTGAACTTCTAAGTTGCTGTCCCTGCCATGGGTCCCGAAGTCATTGGAGCGATGGTGCTGCTACGGTGAAGGCGCCGTGCGGTGAACTTGACATTTCAAGTGCTGTCAGCTGTGCCCCACCAACATCCAGATGCCGTGCGCATTGGGTTGGCAGTGCCAAGATCCCCTAAGCACCACTAGTGCGGCACTAAGGAGTCGGGCCATCCCTTGCCCCTTTCTGTCCTTGATCTTAACCGGAACCCGGAGGTATGATTGTGTTGTCACCTGTTTGGTGAGGCTGTCAAGTTCGCTGAGACGAGACTCACCAAGCTCGCTGTCATTGTTCTATGTAAGTGATCCAATTCCTGACATTTTCCGGTACTCCTTGTCATTGTTACTACTTTAGTGTCCCCCCATCGAGCAATAAGAGATGCCAGTTTTTCTCATCGTGAGTACTAAGAATGCTGTTTCCATGACCAGCCCTGAGCTGGCTATGATCTTTACCTTCTGCCCTCGGAACTCCTCGTGCGCAAGGACTTGTTTTCAACATGGAGTGAGACTTCACTTTGGGAGACGTTTGGGATGGCATCTGGCTGGCTCAATCACGATTCCTACCATCTCTGGCCAGGTTTCCCGGTGTTGCCATGCGGGACCGATGCTCAATTATCACGAAAGGAACTGCCTCAGTGAGTATACTCGTACCTCGCTCGATGTGTGCTTCTACTTGTGATTTAGATGAGAGTTCCGACTCCAGTCCCTGTACAATGAGCATGTGAAAAGCCAAAAACATGCGTGCCGCATCTGCAACATGGACAACATCACATCCATTAACATTAACAGACAGATCTCCAGTACCGAATTCCCGATGAGTTTGACTGGACGAACCTTGGCGTCTACAGATACCATGACACCGTCGCTTTGCATTGAAAAATGACAATATCATACGCTTGCACGTCGACAATGGCCGCCTCGAGCACCGCTCAAACCCCAACCCAATTATTCCAGCTGACTCCTCGGTTCATCTCCTGCCAGTTCAGCCCTATTTCCATGACTCCCACTTTCCAACTCATTCTGCGGCCGTCCCCCGTCCTCTGGTATCGCCGGAACCTCGGCCGGTCCCGCCCGGATCGGCGGCATTAGCAGCGTTTTCTGACTCTCAAAGTAGTGCTCCTCCTTTTCGCGGTTATAGAATCCACCGGCACTGCTAACTTCAGCGACACCATTCTGATGGACCGTTCCATTTCCATGCCCATGAACATCGTGCCCAGCATGTTGCATGCCATTCCCGCGCGCATAAACACCGTGGCCACCATGGTTCACTCCATACCCGTCCCCATGATGAACGGGTCCGTAGTCATGGCCTGTTGGCGCTCCATCCGCTTCGACGGCGTTGCTCTGAGTCTGCTGGTGCTCGCCCACCCGCTTCCTCCTTCGCCTCATGATGAAAAAAATCGCAGCGGCGATAGCCAGTACCGCAGCGGCGGCGCAATACCAGCTCCTATGCCCGCTCTAGCGCCGGTACTGAGCTCTCCTTGGTTACTGGTGTTGTCATTATTACCTGCGGTGCTGGAGGTCCCGGTGCTGGCGCTATCGCTACTGCTGTCGCTGCTCGTCGAGTTGCCTTCCCCTACTGTGTTGGTTCCCGTGGCCGCTGCGCCGGTCGGGTTGGGCGTCGATGAGATGGTCGTCGCAGACTTGGTCGTTTGTGTCGCCGCGGACTTACTCTGGATGAAGAACCCGGGCGACTGGAATGGCGCACCGAAGTTGGTACCATTCACGATGTATAGCCAAAACTCGTCGTCTTTGGCATCGGTGAATCCGTCGCGTATGGCGTGAACAGTCCATGTGTATGTCGTTGGATAGTTGGGCGAGTTTGCTGTCCCGCATTGTTAGTTCAAATAGCTTCCGAGTGGATGCGACGTGCATACAGATGAGCCATGTTATGGTCTGGTTGGTATATGAGTAGTAGCCCAATGACAAAATCGAGTAGTCGGCCGTCTTGTCCCACTCAACCTCCACTTGTTCGCCCAGTTGGAAAGTGATGGTGCCATTCTGCTCGTTCGGCTTCGTAAAGTGGCCGGTGGCGACGACGGACGGGGCAATTGTCACGAAAAACCATGGCAGCAGCGGAGCGAAGACGCGCATGCTGGGCTGCTTGTGGCGTGTCCACGGGCCGGTCGTATTCCAGCAGATAGAGAGCTGGGGGAAACGCCAGCAAATATCAAGTCAAGATCTATAAAACAGCTGATGGAAGCAATGATGATAAGGAAAAACTGGACATTGATCTGAATAGCGAAACCCCGGGCGAGTTCATTTCGACAGGTGACAGACACTGTTTTGGTCGTCCATACCCAAATGCCTGCCACCCCCATCGCATTAGGGGATCGACCAACAAGACCTGCAAAGACTGTGCCATGACTCCAAGAAAGCGAGGCAGGATTCTCTCGTATAGAGCTAGGTCATGGGTTTTGACATATAATGTGCACAATTCGTCTGTGCTCCTCCAAACATTGGCCAGCACACAAGGGTGGGGCACTGTCTGTTGCAGATCTCAGCCACGATCGGTAGCGTTTATTAATTCGCTAAATGCATTAAACTGGATTGAAGAGTAAGTACAAGGAAAGGTGAGGTGAGCTAGGGTTGTCGTCAGCTGTCAGGAGAAGAAAGCATTCCATCGGCCTGGTTTGATGAGGTCAGACTAGGTGCAGACCACATGTCTGTAGGACTTTCAGCAAGCGTGCAGGGCTGATGACGGCGCCATTTTCACGTTTCTCGGTTGGCTTGCTGGTTGCAACTCGCTCGCATCGCTTGATAACCAATTCGATTATAGAATAGTCGTCGCAGGGGTTGCCTGCGACCAATTTACCGTCGCCACGAAGCCGGCACCGAAGACCCATCAGCTGCATGACAAGAGAGTAGTAATGTCGGCGGTGCCTTTTCAGTTGGTACGCGGATTGGCTCCGTCTTGCCTAATTCTAGGGCAGACAGAATATTCTCAGGGTTGGGGTCGGGTTGGGGTTGCCGCAGGCTTATAAGCCACCCCCCTCCGCCTCATGGAACTTTGAGGCTGCCGGAAACGAGCTGAAATTGAGAGAAAAGGTCAGCTTAATGCGCAAGCCGAACGCAATGCCAACCACTTGCCGGCAGTAGGTACAGAGCATGCAAGCGTACTCGACCGGTAATGGCACACTCTACACCGGGACCCCAGCAGACATTGGCGGCATTGCGATTGATATGCAGCTGCGGATCGACCGACATTCAAGAGAGGGCGTATTAACCATCGGGCAATCCCCAAAGTTGTGAATCGGGCGAGGTCCTATCCAGATGACGAGCCCACATCGCCGCGCACCTGCCTTGGAGTTGTGGTATCCGGCGAGTGTTCACAAGTCCTCCGCCTTAGCTCCGCCTTTGACGCTGTGCCGTACCCACATGCTGATTGGTACGGTTAAATGGTCGTCGAAGCCGGGCAAGTTGAAAGTGACCGGCAGCCTGGTAGAAACTGGGGTCGAGAGCAAAGACCCTGAGGGATATCGCATCATAAGCCGGCTTCGTCACGAATCACGCTGTGAGTGAAAATCCCCCCTGGTCAGAGAATCTCCAATCTGACGTCTGTGACGCAAGAGACCGATCACCGCAACTGTGTGCCAAGAAGAGATGTTGGTCTACGTAGTACCTGCACCGGGCTTCCACGGGCATTGGGCCGAGTAGTTAGTCGTCTCAGGATGTTTTGGCGGGGCAAAGTGTTGAAGAAGGTAGCAGGAGCTATTGCGACTCGTGGAATTACCCCTCCCCCCGTTTCACCCCTCATGTTTTCACTACTTACTTATCCCGAGCTGAAGACATCACGACATTTGTTTTTCTCTTGTGAACCATCAAATCTTCTTTTACCTCAATTGCGTACTTTGACTTCCAGGATAACTTGAATTCACCACCATGTCGTTTGGAAAGACCGTGAAGCTCAACACCGGTGCCGAGATCCCGTGAGATACTTTGGCCCAACTCCATATGTCTGTATGCGAATGGAATCACTGACGTGTCCCCCCACCTTCCAGCCAGCTTGGATACGGCACCTGGCAATCTGCACCAGGTGAGGTCTCGGTGGGTATTTACGAGGCTGTCAAGGCTGGGTACCGTCATCTCGTACGTTTTCTCCTCAAACCGAATTACATTCTCGAGTCGAACTAACAGCTCTATGCCAGGATCTTGCAAAGATGTTAGTGTCGTTTGCTCACATCAATGTTTCGGACTTTTGTTGACCGACTGAAAAGCTACGGGAACCAGAAGGAGGTCGCCCAGGGTTTCAAGACGGCTCTGAAAGAATTTAACCTGAAGCGAGAAGACTTCTTCATTGTAGGTAGTCCAGCGGCTGTTGTCGTACGCGAACATCAATCAGACTGACTTGGATTCAGACCTCCAAGCTGTGGAACAAGTACGTCTGGCATGCCCAGCTTCTGCGCGCCTCGATGCTGACCATTGTTCAGCAAGCACCATCCCGAGGATGTCGAGGGTGCTCTTGATGAAACCTTGGCAGAACTCGAACTTGACTACCTCGATGTACGTCTACGGTTTGGAGACGCGATGAAGGAGTGCGCCTGGCTGATTCAACCACTATAGCTGTACCTCATCCACTGGCCTATTAGTTTCAAGCAGGGCGACAACCTCTTCCCTCTCGTCGAAGGGGCAAACCAACCTGACGGTGATGTTGCCCTGGATGACAGCGTTTCTTTGGTGGACACGTGGAAAGGTAAATCTGCCTCTTGGTGTCTGCATGTATAATTGCTAAGCTCGCCTGCGTATAGCCATGATCAAGCTGCCCAAGGAGAAGGTGCGAGCAGTCGGTGTATCCAACTTCAGCGTCCCTCACATCGAGGCCATCGTCAAGGCCACTGGCGTTACCCCGGCCGTGAACCAGATCGAGCGTCATCCGCGGTTGCAGCAGCTTGACACCATCATCCATTACGCCAAGGACAAGGGCATCCACATCACCGCGTACTCGGTTCGTCACAAAGGAAAACTCAGAAACTCGTTGAGTATTTCGTTGGCTAACGTGAACACGGCAGGCATTCGGTAACAACTCGTTCGGCCTACCTCTGCTGGTCCAACACCCCGAGATTAAGGAGATTGCCAAAAAGAAGTCGGCTACCCCGGCGCAGGTCATGTTTGTATTCCTTCTTCACCAGCCCGTCTACATCTTCTAACAAATCCTCCAGCCTGGCATGGTCCATCATTGGTGGTCACAGCGTGATCCCCAAGTCAGTTACCCCCTCGCGAATCATCGAGAATTTCCAGCAGATCGAGCTTTCCGATGATGAAGTCGGGATCATCAAGAGCATTGGCGAGCAGGAACCCAAGCGCATGAACATTCCCTACATTGCCAGTAAGTTGCAACCTGACGTGTATGAGATGCATGGTGGCAATGTCCGTGCTGATCCTTCACAGACAAACCTCGCTGGGATATCAACACCTTCGGCGACGAGTCGGAGACACCGGCGACACACCAGGTCATCATTGGTGCATAAGTTACGAACTACCGAACACCGCTACGGTTGTGTCCTGCTCAATGAGGGTGGCTGGGGTGCAAAAACAGGAGTAGATATAGAATATGGTTATCCATTTAAGAATACTCGTCAGTCCCAGCTCTTTGGGTGTGAATGCGCACAAATTTGTGGTGCAATCTGGACTTCCCTGCCCTCGGTGGCATCAGTCGAGCCTACCGACAGCCAGCTTTTTGTTCGTATTTGTCAGTTTTCGCTAAATCCTACATGCTGGAGCAAATGGTTTTGTGCGGCAGCCGAATCTCAGCAACTTAGCCAGCTTCGCTCAAAGTAAAGTCAAAATATGGCGAACCAGGGCCCTCGGTGTTTTGCACCCCGAGACGATAAGATGTAAAGTGACGTCCCTCTGGCTTCGACCCACCCCCAACAAATCGGCGCGGCAGCGGCACCTCTCGGAGTGTGCTCCGACCCCACCATCCATCCCATCACCCCGCGATTCCCGACTGGTCTTTATAACCAAGTCCTACGCAGTCCAAATGTGTGCTAAGATGTATCATTGACTGCAAAGCTGAGAAAGCCACTTCTCCGAGTCTAGCACCATTGATTTCTCCGCGCCACTTCTCAATTCTCCTCGTCACCGTTCTCCAAAATGAAGCTCCTCTACCCCACCTCCCTCGAGCTCGACATCAAGTCCCTCGAGGGTTTCTCCGTGAAACTCCAACCCTACGACGTGAAATCCCCACTACCCGATTCCGACCTCGACGCCGACATCCTAGTAACCTGGACCAACTCCCCCTCAAACCTATCCGACGCCGCCAAGCGTCTCACCAACCTGAAATGGATCCAATCCCTCGCCGCAGGGCCAAATGACGTGCTCGCCGCGGGCTTCGATCCAAAGAAAGTCACCATCACCACCGGCTCGGGCCTGCACGACCACACCGTCGCCGAGCACACTCTGGCGCTACTGCTCGTCGCCGCGCGCAAGTTCTACGAGATGAGGGATTTCCAGGTCCAGGGCAAGTGGCCCGGTCATTTGGGTGGTCCGCAGCCCGACAGACCGAAGGGGAAGTTCACGACGCTTAGGGATGCCGAGGTGTTGATCTGGGGGTATGGAAATATCGCAAAAGCACTGCAACCGCATTTGACATTGCTGGGTGCCAAGGTGAAGGGTGTAGCTCGTTCGGCTGGTGTGCGCAACGGTATCGAGGTGTATGGTGAGGACAAGTTGCCCGAGCTGCTGCCGAAGACGGACGCGCTGGTTATGATTCTCCCTGGCAGTGACAGCACACGGCATGCGCTGAATGCGGAGAGGCTGAAGCTACTGCCCAAGCACGCATGGGTCGTGAACGTAGGTCGCGGGTCGGCGCTCGATGAGGAGGCGCTGGCAAATGTGCTGGAGAAGGGCGAGATTGGCGGCGCTGCATTAGATGTTTTCGAAAAGGAGCCGTTGCCTGAGGGTAGCAGGCTGTACAAGGCGCCGAATTGTGTCGTTAGTCCGCATGCCGCTGGCGGCAGGCCACAAGGGGCCGAGGCATTGGTAGCGGCTAATTTGAGGCGGTTCTTAGCTAATCAGCAGTTGAGTAATGTCATTTAGAGAGAACTTGATAGCGGAACCTGGTAGCTGGGTGGTGGTATGGAGGGGATTCGGGAATGTAGATACGATGTGCCAAAGCTGGCTATATAAAAGTAACGGGCATATAGCACGACACGCCTCAAAGCTTGGGACGGATCCTTGGTGTAATGCATTCAATATCCCATCAGCCGTGCCTACCCCGTGTCATATTTTAGAACGAGATATGAGTACAACGGCTAGGCCTGCGTTCAAGTTATGTTGATAAACAAATATACACGGCCTTTCATAGGTCCTTGGCCCCCTGTCCTGGGCTACAATTTGTAGCATCCGTGTATTCACCTAGAGGAAATAGCTTTTGTATGTCAAGAACTTGATCATGGTTCAGAGTTAGATATAACAAAATATGTAGACCAGGAATATGTCCTTAAGTAGAGACTCGACAATGGTTGTAGATGCTGGCTGTGCAGTGTGTTGAGGTGATACATCTTCCAAATAAAGCATAATGGAGGGAATAATGTTGACCACGATCACCCTTTCTTTGCAGTTTTTACTGAACATGACATTCTGGGTATTAAGACGTCTCCCATGTGATGAACCCGTTATGCCTAATCCAATTGCACACGTTCCACGTGGTATGGCGCAACTTGTAACTTATAATCAAGTGGTCCATTCAACTCCAGAAGCGATGGAAGGACGAAACTGCCATGCACCAGCAGAGTGCCGGCTTGGCACTCTGCGCTCAGCAACGGCACGGACATCATTTCATTTCACCACACACGCTTCGTCACTGCCCACTGCTTGATTCGATTATTGGCAAATGGAGGCAAGTTTTCTTGTTGGGCACGTTCTGTAAATCTTGAGTGCCAGATTCTTTTGGTGTTATTCATTGTATCAGCTTTCCAAACCTGCAACATTTATCGCTAACAGGAATCCAATACTCACTGAAACAGGCCTGATAAAATCATTTTATTATCATTTTTCTAACGCGAAACAAAATATGGACTTCATATTGGCGATATGGGCCTCTTCTCAAAGATAATACACAAGGCGGAAGAGAAGCTGAGCGGCCACAAGAACCAGTAGCAACACGCATCAGACCACTACGGCGGCCCTTCAAATAACATGGGAGGTGGCGAATATGGCGGAACACCAGTAGGTGGCAATGGCATGGAAGGAGGCTACGGTGGGGTTTATAGAGCATCATAGCGGTGGAGGACACATGGAAGGTGGGTCTTCTGGTGATATGGGAGGAGGGCATCATGATGGTGGACATCGCGGCGGCCCACGAGGTATAGATAGTGGTATAGAAGCTTCTGGTGGCCATCAAGGAGGTGGCCATGGGTGACATGGTGGCGGACATGGAATTGGATCGGGGGGGTGGGGGGGGGGAGGGTGGGGGGCTAAGTCACAACATGAAGGGAAGCATATTAGGGCCGGAATTTTGACGAAGTTGATACCCATTAAACAAAACAATGCATCTAAACATGTACGACGCACTTCAACTTCAATTTCATCTTCACTCCGAAGTGAAATTTCTTTACGGCACGACCAGTTATACCGAATAAATTCGGCGTTAGTATAGCCGCAGACGCTACCATACTGTTGCAGAGCAACGCCCTCATCATCTCACCATCGTGAAGCAGAGCGTCTTTCAGAAGGTCTCTGAATTGCTTTCATGTGGAAAATCCTCATTCGGCAACGGCAAGTCTAGAAATCGGCACAGTGGCTACCAGCCGTCCTCTGGCTCCCACCCGAGCAGTCGCCCCGACTCAGTGACACCATCACGGACCAGAGCGCAATGCTCCTTGTCAATCTGTAAGCCTTTTCGACAATGATTATTGCGGAAGTAGAAATCCTGCATGCAGTTCCAAATAAAGAATGTTTGGTTATATGGATTAATTTAGCCCAAATCAGCAAACGAATACTTGAGTATCAGGTAGGCAGGTCCCGAGTGAGGGGGGCTAAATGCAAGCAAGCTCACCCGCTGCAACTTGCACGAACTCTTGGTCAACGTGGGCTAGCAACCACAGCGTCCAATTTTTCTTGAATGGAAGTATTTTGAGTCCACAACGCCCACCACTTATCGTCGGGCCGCTTGTTGAGAATGACGAGTGTTTCGGGCTAGGCCTCGATCAGGTTGAGGGAGAACATGGCGGCGGAACTATCGGCGCGGCCTGAAAAATAGGTTTGAATTTGATACGATTATTGCAAATGATGGATATAACGTACGCTTGACCGTCCAGAACCTGGTCGAAGTCTTCCAGGGTCCAAATCTTACCCCTATTCTGAAACTTGGACAGTACTGCTTTGTACGACAACAAGATGTGTCATGGGTTCGCAGTTGTATGCCACTAATTTCATTGAAGCACAGAATATCAGTTACGATTTACTCTGCTGAGGATTGATTTGAGGCATTGGTTGGAACACTCAATCTTGAAGTGAAGCACTCACGCCGTGGTATGTGGGTCCTCCCAGCTCTGTTAACGCAATGCAAAAGCTTTCAGTACCATTCCGGCCCATGCCCAAGCACAATAATTTCATGGTAATCGTCCGCCTGTGACCCTGAGGGTCTTAGGAGATGTCGCTGGTGTCAATCCTGTTGGTATGTAATGATATTCGGCAACGGTCTCATTTGGTAGAGTGAAGGACAATGTTCGTTCTACCCGCCGGGCTTCTTTTAGATCCAGCTCAAGTATTTCTCATCGAGATATGTATCGATCCTGATGGATCCATCTGCGTATTTCTACTTATCCTGAATCTGACAAGTTTCTATGTAGTGTCGTGGGCAGCAATAGAGCGCCATTACAGCGATGTATATCCCAAAATGGCAATGGTTCCATTAGAACACACAGTTACCGCAACCCCTCGGTATCTCTACATATGGTGGTTGAACGGCGTCTTTCCTCGGATGTCTCATTGTAGCTTGCCGTCATCTGGCTATCCTCACATAAAGCTGGTGAACTAGGCCGCGCTTCGTGAATGACAGCCGTAAAAACTTGGCAACAGGAACGAAATGCCTAGAATGCTACTGCATGGTGGATTCATTCGGTAAAGCAGACAAGATTAATTTTAACAGCATTAAGACGAACATGGAAAAGACGTGAAGAACCAATGACGAGATGCATTTCCCTCTTTCTCTTTGACAGGGCAAACTTCACGAAAATCAACATTGGCGAGCAGATGATATGTCCTTGGGATGATATTGTTACATAAGTATTCGTGCTGCCTCAAGAAGATGTTAGAGCTGACCCTTGCGAAATGGTATCGCCTGTCTACTCACAAATTAGGCGACAGTGCTCAGATTTGGTCTTCATCGCTGTGGCAAACGCATTGCCAATCCGGGCCAGTGGCGTCCGTGGTTATCTTCGCAGCTGTGGTCGAGGTATTTGTCCGGCCAAGTGATCCCAACTCAGTGGCCAACTCAGTGGCCAACATCCAGTATCCATATCACGACTGACGACACTATCTCCGCCCTGGCAATCCAGGCACGCCGGCATATCTCTCCTCTCTCTCCGTCATGAACATGACCTGCACCCAGAACTCCTTCAGATCCTTATCCCACCACGTCCAATACCGCTCCCCACTGCGGTCGATTTCTCGCGCCTGCAGCTTGAACCCGCACGTCTCGTACGGTTCGGCCGCAACCAGCATGTATTGGTAATCCTTGTCTGGCGGGTCGTCGACGCGCTGCTCAAATGCGCTCATGAAGCGCACTTTAGGGGTGACGTCGTGTGATATCTCCGGGTATTGCAACTGGAACAGCAATCCTTGTTGCCGTGTGACCGGGTCGCGCACCTTGGTGATTTTGTACCCTGGCCGTCCGATCTTGACCACGTTCCTCCTCACGCCTCCCAATCCTAACGCGCCAAACCCAGCACCGACCACGCCCACAGGCAAGCCCGTCCTTTCGTCGATCTGTGACTTCCCTTCCTTCTGCTCTTTGGCGGCGCGGCGCGCGAGGTTGGTTTGATGCTTCTTGCCTTGGGTATGGGCTAGGTAGGAGCCATCGTTTTGGTGTACCGTTAGGCAAAGCCGGCATTCAAAAGAGCCGACGTGATTCTTGAAGAAGTAAGGATCCTTGTCTAGGTCGATTGTCTCGAGGGCGAGCTTCTTGAGTCGCTCGCGTCGGTCAGCATTGGTTGCGCTTTGCGAGGCGACGCCGCCGCCGCCGAATTTGGAGCCGGCGCGGTTTTGGTAGTCCATCTTAGATTCAACAGTCCAGATATTGCAGATAGAGCTGCGTAGATTTATGCGCAAGTCTTTTGTCGCAGAACACTACGTGTTTTGATGCGGGCGCGTTTTGAGTATGAACGACGAACCTGCGGTCGCAGATGGATGGAAGCTGTGACCAACTTAGACTCAGAGAAGTTCTGGAGCTTCCATTGTGGCTTGACCATGCACCGCCACTTCTGGCTCCCCTGAACCCGACAATGATCGTGGATCCAAGTTTGAAAAGGAACAAGAGAAGGAAAGTTAGTAACAGCCATTAAGCGACGCCAAGATGCTGCATTTTTCCTTTTTCGAAGGGCTCACCGACCAACTGCTGGCTCACATGCATATCTAGCGAATTAGCAAACGGGTCGGCCAAGACAGTTCTCTTTTCCCATGCATGGCCATCAAGCCAGACTAGTACCACTCGAGAGCCTACCAGTTCTCGCACGCCATTTTTGGAGAACTGAGATCTCCTGCAAGACATCCTGTCGAGGTACTAGGGAATCATTCACAAACGATGGAGAGAAAGATCCACGCCTAAACCTACTGAACGGCAAAATAAACGGCGTGCTTGGGTCGGGTTATCAAGTTAAACCAAGTCTACTGCACTAGGATATCAAGCTATCCCGTATTAATACGTCTTTACTGTACCGTTCATTTGGACAACTTGGAAACGGCGTGAGCTGTTCCCTGCAGCGTGGCTCGATATCTCTGCCGTGCACCGGCCTGATATACTACACCTTGACGACAATCGGTTCCATTCTCTCCAACAGCGCGCAAAGAATCGGGATGTGCATCTGTGGTCACGCTTCAATCTCGAGGACCTTGGAGAGTAAGAATTATTCTGCTCCTTGTCGCCTCCAGAGGTCGACATCATCCCGTTGCTTTCGCAAGTGCTGACGTGGACTCGAGCAGCTAGGGCCGCACCACCGGTTCACTCAATCCGCTTTTTCTGAACATGTTCACTACTATTTTCAAGTATCACAATACACAAGCAAACCCGCACGGCTCAAATTTTCAAATCCTAACACGAACAGAGGAATGCCATCCGCTCTGAGAAGAAACTGCTGAGACTATCAGTAAGCCCTGATTTGGCTCGACAATGCAGCAACTATCCATGTTTCTTGTAGACGGAATGCGTCACTCGTTCGCCGCATCGCCGCCCATACGACCGTACTTCCAGGCTCCTGTGAGTCATGGTATAGCTCTGGGGCCCGGAGCGAACCGATTCAAGAAATTGAAGACGTGCTGTGTCATGACCAGTACCGAGTCATCATGGGGCTGAAGAATATCCTATACACCACAGAAAATCACGTTCAGCACGATACAGAGGTCAAGGGGATGGTCTCATCATACGTCGAGGGGAAAACAGCAGATCTGGCAGTTCCTGTCGAGCGACTCTACTAACTCGAGCTTTACCCAGCCGTGGGCAGCTTAATTCGGCGATCAGATGGCGGAGCACGCAGACCGACTAAGTAATGATTGCGCAGGAACTCAGAAAGTCACCTCAGGGGATAAGCACAGAAACTGCGAGAACTTGAGGGCCGATGAGAGATGCCCAAGCCAGTCTCACCATGATGTGGAAGCGCTAGAGCGAAATATGAGATCAAAGCAGGCCTTGTCGCTTAGAGTCAGAAGTGTCATCCGCCGCCAAGTCGAAAAAACGCCCAAATGGGTCGAACCAGCAAAAGATTTGGCTGGCAAAGCTGGCAAGGTCGAGGACGGCAAGGTTTACAGATGTCAGGACCGGTACAAATCCCAATGCCGGCTATTCTGGCCTGGCACGGAAGACCAAGTCCAAGACGCGGGGCGCAGTGCAGGAGATTAGGCAACGACTTGATGTGTGAAATCAACCGTGACTACGACCAATCCCGGGGATGACGATGCTACCGTCTAGCCCCCGTTCGAAGTAGAACGCGCGCTCGAGGTGTTCCACAATATCTTCTTCATCCTCTCGACCTCGGCCCAGCCTGAAGAGGTGGCCCGGAAAAATTTCCCTCACGCTATGGGCTCCGTCGTCTTCATCATTGAGAAGCTCTGCGGTCCCTCTGGTAGTTCACACCGATGGGCCCGACGTGGAGCGCGGTATACAGTTCCGCAAGCCACACCAGGCTGATGTTGACTTAAAAGGTCTGCCACCATCAGCCTTCCCCGTGGTAGGGATGCTAGTTGATGGGTCGGTCCATTTTGTGGCATTATGGCAGCCAACAGGTTGGAGATCAGTGTCTTCGAGGTTCTGACAATGCCTGAACAGGGTCTGTTACCCGGCTTCCAGCCACCTTCTGCCGCACTTGGACTTTTCATGCGGTCATGCGTAAGCAGCTTCGCCTAGCTTCATCAGGGGCTTGGTGGGGGAATTCGCAAGCGTGAAGGGCGGAAAAACTCGCATTATTGAATACTCTGTACGAATCATCACATTACTGTTTCATGTATGAGCAAATACAGAATTAAAACCGACAACCGGGGGAAGAATTCCACTTATGCATTCCCTGTAGAGCATAGCCTTTTATGTTGGTGCTGATGTGTGGCAATGAGGGCCTACTGGGGATATCAGTTGAGCCAACCCCTATTTCGATTCCTGCACAACATTTGTTTTGCCTAATGCCTCGAATGCCGGCTTCGGGTTTCTATTTTTCCGCACACTGCCCCAGTTAAGTAGGATTCCGCACACTCTCTCAGCCGCAGAACGTTTGTTCCTCCTTTTCACTTGTCAAGAGAAATCTGGATTTGGCTCATATGGTCTTTTTGGGTTGGCGCTTCAAGAAGAATCAAGTTCTCACGCCATTGCTACTGCGCTTCATCGCTCAGAAATGACTTCCTCTCACCCCCTGTCCGTGGCTTCCCTGTTTTCAGTGAAAGGATGGATTGCAGTCGGCAAGTATCTCGACGACTTGCCTTCCTAGCCGTGGCTAAGTGATTATCATAGTGACGGGTGGTGGAACTGGACTCGGCCTTAGTACGTCTTCATCGCTCCCCCTTGGCAGCGGGACACCGATCTAATCAATTCACAGCGGCTGCGAAGACTCTAGCTGCCAATGGCGCCAAGGTCTACATAACGGGTCGCCGAATCGATGTCCTCGAAACCAGCGCTCGCATTCACGGCGCACCAGAGAACCTTGGTGCCAACGGTGGTTCTATTGTACCCATCGCCATGGATGTTACGTCCAAGGAGAGTATCAAGGCTGCTGTCGACACCATTATCCAGAAGGATGGCCATGTCAATCTGTCAGTCTCATTGTAGAAACCTCATCTCGACTTTCATTTCTGACGCATATCTGGAAGACTGGTAAATAATGCCGGCATGTTCGCTGGGCGAGCCGAGTCAAAGGCCGCAAACGGCGCTGAAGCTTACGGGGACGCAATGTTTGCGGAGAGCATCGACGATGGCTGGCAGAAGTGTGCGACTTGGTGAAACCCGCGCATCCGTGGAAGTTTTGCTGATGTGTCTGAAGCGTATCTCACCAACTGCACTTCGATTTACTTCGTCACAGCTGCTTTTCTTCCCTTGCTTGCCAAGGCCTCCTCGAGTCCAAGTGAGAAAGTTGGATCTGTTATTAACATTAGCTCCGTCAGCGGTCTGCTGAAGATGTTAGTTTCCCCGCACAAATCTACGGTATGGCAGCTGGCTTATTAGTGGCATAGATCCCAGGATAGCCAATATTCGTACAACGTAAGTGATCTGCCGCAATCTTGGGTGGACTTATTGACATGTGTTATCCAGTGTAGCAAAGCGGCCACCACCCACTTGACTCGCCAAATGGCTCTGGAATTGAGCCATGAGAATATCAATATCTGCGTTAATGGCATTGCACCAGGTAAGAATAGCGGGGAAAAAAGGGGGGGAACGGCCACTCTTAGCACCTTTTCATTTTCAAAGGATCTGAACCTGATGGGATTTGTTGCACCATACAGGATACTTCCCATCGGAGATGACCGCTGGTCCCTCCGGAGACGATAACCAAAGTTCCGACCCCGGAGAGCCATTCCGCCATTTCATGTCGACTATGGGTGCAAAGGTCAAACGAATGGGTAGACCTGAGGAGCTGGCCAGCGTAAGTTTACTCACCGCACCCATCGCACTTCCCATTAAAACCCCTAGTCTAGGAACGAAAATTAACTATTCTTGTTAGGTCATATTGACGCTGGCAACCAATGAGTATATCTGGGGCGCCATTGTTCCGGTGGACGGTGGATTCCTCCTTCAAATGCCAGGAGTTATGTGAGGGTGACAACATATAGGCACAGTACTGTATGCAACCTGTGGTCGAGCATCTTGTCGCAATTAAAGGTAAACATGCTATGTGCGACTCCTAGAATGTTCCAAAAAGAACCCGACGTGGAATACCCCCTGATGTGCGTGAATCTTGCGTATCCAAGCAAGCTAATCACCTCTACACCTCTGCAAATTCTTTTTGAAATTAACGCACCGCCCACACAAGGTGGTGTGCTTTGCCAAGGGTCGCAATAGCTGCTCGCCGCATGTCTTTCTGACTTGATCAAACCATGTACTGCATTTCCTTGCGGCGGTTTGCTCGCCGACCACATTGCTGGAAGAAGACGCAAGCCAAGATGACGAGTGCCATCTATCAGCCGGGTTTATATTAGTCAAATAGTCACTTGCACCTAATATTGAAGCAAAATAATGCGATAACTAAGGGTCAACCCTACTTACCAGAGGAATGGCAACAACGAAGTACCTAGGCCATGAGTCAGTGATTATGATCGTTTATGGCTGAATATGGAGGCCTTACCATTTTATCGAAGGATTGCCCGCGAAGAGGTCGATATTCATACCGAATAACCCCGCGACGAACGTTAGTGGCAGAAAGATGAAGGTGATCCAGCTCAGCCGCCACAGGCTTTCGTTCAGCTGGAGAGAGTATCGCGCGTCTCGGATGGCCACCCTTTTGTAGATCTACAAGTTTCGGTGGTTAATTAATCGATGTGTTCCTGTCAAGTTGTCTTAGAGAAGTGGAATTACCATGTCGAGCAAGTTCGTGGTTGGGTTGATCAGAGCTTGCGTCACCTGGATCTGGTGCTTCTTGAAGGACAATGGGTTTCTGTGAAACACATTGCTGACATCTTCACGCTCAATGTTAAGCCCAAGGCGATTCTGAGAGTGGACAAGAAATTTCGCGGCTTGGGCCTGTAGATATGGCAGCATTCTGAGGTGCAACGATAGCACTCGGTCAAAAAGAAGCCAGTGCCTCGAACACAACCAGAGATCGTTGCCCCAAGCGTCATCTTCCGGATTGCCATAGATTCTATCTTCCTGTAGGTGGCAAGGTCAGTAACTCAAGTGACTATGAGAACTCCGTTGATTTTTCGTACTAGGCCTGTGATATGAGAGCTTGACTTCTCTATTAAATCGAACCATTCTTCATTGGCATGCCTTATGATTTGGTATAATACATGTTGCAGAAACCTGTAAGTGAATCTTCGAGGATCGAGCTTTTTCTCTTGACGCCAGTTCACGTTGGCGTTGATATTTAGGAACGGCTCCACGTTGCCTGAATCCTCAAAGATGACAACTGTAGACAGGGGCTGCCGGGTCTCCGCCTTCCATATCGCATTACTGGGACGGCCGATGTGGAAGATGGCAGAGAGTCTCTGCAGACATGCTGACCAGGACTCCATGTCGCCATTTTCCTGATTGATGGGGTGGAGAGTGGTCAACGGTCTGCTGCAACAGACATGCGAGAGATTGGGCGCCCTGTGGATAACGGGATAGTCGAACGACAATTTGAGCTCTGTATGGTCTGGGTATCGCTTCATTTCAACAGGCCACACACGCTCGCGTGGCGTGAGGTTCAGATTTCGCAAGGGGTTTCTCGTGCGTGCGGTTTCAGGTACCCATTTGCGAAAGTCGCCGTAGCTACCATTTCGAGCTCTTTCAATGGCATCAAGCGCCCATGGTGCGTTGAGCGCATGTCTACTTACGCAGGGTTAGAATCAATCTTGTTTGCATACAGTAGGCCACGGTCTACCCACAAGAGACGGGCGGTTGAGCGTTCGCAAGGCTACGTAGATGTATATACTTCATCAACAAGCTGATCAAGTGTCGCTGGCGCAAAGAGGACGCCCAAACCTTTTCAAGGAATTCAAACAAGGATTCGTTGTCTTCGAAAACGAGTTCTTGTTGGGTATATAAATGAATGGCTCGCCTGCAGTGCATCAACCTACAGTTAGATTTTCGGAAGAAAATATGAAACAGCTTCGCTTGGGAGATTCTCACGAGAGTCTTCCGATTCAATCACCCAATGGTCCACGGCAAGGACGCATGAGCCTTTGAATAATGTACGCGAGGCGACTTCTTGCCCTGTGAAGCTCTGTATTGACAGTCAATGGCCCTGGGCATTCTAAACGGCTCTCGATTTCTTCGTATCAACGCACAGTGATCTCGATTTGGTCAAGGTTTGTTCCCGAGAACACATCGGGATGTCTTTCTGACATCTTTAATACCCAGGTAGTTGACGAGAGCAGCTTGTGCTGACACACCTTTGCTGATACTAGGCACAAAACCTGCGATTAGCCACGGTGCGGCTGACTTGATACGCAGCGTGACTGTTCGCGTGGTGCTGCCTCATTGGCTGTCTCCTCTTATTCCTGGCATTACCACACTCGTAACTGCCAAGTGCCGCAACGAAATATCCATCATAGACACATCTGATCCATACTTGAGATGTTACATATGCTAGGGGGGCTACTTGACCTAGCATTCTCCCCCGAGAGGGTAACAGCAGTAGCAATCGAGACTTGGTGGGTTTATTTGATGAGCTGGTGGCAGCAGTCGTGCAGAATGCGGGGACTCTCCTGTATTTCTTGGGTGCTCGTCATTATTGGAGCTTCGGATTAGCACCGTGATAGCAGATCTGCAGAACTGCATATTTCTCCACACCCCCACACTCCAGTTGCACCCAGAACGGTAATGGTTGCATTTTTCGCTGTATAGGAGATCGTTCTAGGTATGCAATGCCATGATGTCGGGGTATATATCCCGGATCCAAAAGGTTGGTACACCATGTCATCGGTCCTATATCCCTGTCCACGCAACTTTGGAACGACTTTCAACTAGGATATACTGGGAACGCGCTTCGTTAATTGGATGATGCCGGGGGATACGGGCTTGGGAGCTTGACTAAAGCTGCTTCGGAGTTACGAACCATAACCCAACCCCTCTCACACGGAAACTTGGAATGCCGCGTTTTATAAGACTTCCAACCCGCATGTCTAGATACTAGGACAAGTAGATGATTCCCTCTCTCACTTTCACTTTACAAGATGAAACTCGTGAAATCTTCTCCAGCCCTCTGGGGTTTCTTCACCTTGGTGAGAGGTATCTCCTCCGCCGGCCCGGTAGCCAATGTCCTCAATGGCAGCTATACTGGCGTGTACAGCAGTGAATATGGTCAAGACTGGTTCCTCGGCATGCCATATGCGCAACAACCTCTGGGGGATCGGCGATTTCGCAATCCGCAGTCACTCAACGAAGCCTGGACGAAAGCGCGGAATGCCACGGAATATTCGCCGGCTTGCGTGGGCTACGGGGTTGGTGGTTTCAGCCCTCGTATCCTACTACCATTCATTAACATTATTGCCATAGTCAGATCAACTTTGGTACCCAGTAGGTGAGGATTGTCTTACACTGAATGTCATTCGTCCTGCGGGGGTCGGTGCCAATTCAAGCCTTCCTGTCGCTGGTAGGTGCCCTTCAAGGATCATCTGCTCACCAATCCGCCACTAAAATACGGGATTAGTCTGGATTCACGGTGGTGGATTGAGGCAAGGAAGTTCGAGAGACCAAAGATACAATCTGTCCTTTATCGTAGATCACTCGGTTAAGATAGGTGAGGTTCATCAAGGGATCAGCAAGTTCTGAGCTGAAGCAACCAGGAAAACCATTCATTGGTGTCAGCCTGAATTATCGACTAGGACCATGGGGGTTCCTCTACAGTAACGATGTGTTGGGCAGCGGGGACACCAACGTGGGACTTCGCGATCAACGACTTGCCCTCCATTGGTAAGTATTCAAAGGATAATGAGTTCCAAAGACAGCTCGGATCGCTGATATACTTGCTACAGGATCCAAGAAAACATCAGAAGCTTCGGAGGTGACCGAGCCAAAGTCACCATTTGGGGTCAATCGTCAGGGGGGACCTCGGTCGGAAGCCATATGGTCGCCTACGGTGGCCGCAACGACAACCTCTTTCGAGCAGCAATCCAGGAGTCGGGAGGTATCTTGAACGGACAGCCTTTCGACACGACTAAGTACCAACCTATATATGACAACCTGGTCATTGCGACGAATTGTACCGACGCCATCGACCGATTGGAATGTCTTCGATCCGTACCGTACACGAGGCTAAATGGCATTTTCAACGGCACGAACAACACTGCGTACAATTCATTTGTACAGGTGCCGGATGGGGACTTCTATCGCGGATGGGGCTCGTACGCGCTCAAGACCAATTCGTTGAATGCCGTGCCTCTTCTCATTGGATCAAATACCGACGAGGGCACTAGCATGGGGCCAACTGGGATAGACACGGAGCAGGAGTTTTATCAATATCTCACCAGTAAGGACCTCTCTAATCACGCATATTCTCTTAGTTGAAACAAGTTAGGGCTGACTAATATTTAACAGATGGAAGTGCCGGCTACAAGCTTCCATCCACGACAGCTCGCCAGATGCTAAAGGTCTATCCCGATGACCCATCAATCGAAATTGCCGCTTACCTCGGAAACGCGAAAACGCCCAACGAGGGGCTGCAGTGGCGTCGAACGTCAACCTACACAGGTGACCTCAGACAACACACGGGGCGCCGTTGGCAATGCCAAACCTGGGCTGCTAACGACATGCCCGCATATTGTGCGGCTCTCCTGATAGTCCCATATGACCCTTCATCACGGTTGGGTAGCTGACTAGAGTCTCAGGTTACCGCTTCAACGTTCACTCCAACGATGTACCATGGATCAACGGCGCCGCCCATTTCACTGAGGTTGCCTTCGTCTTCAACAACTTGGACGGGGTGGGCTACCACAGCGGTCTTCCATTCAACCAGACGCCGCCCAGCTATGTCGCATTGAGCAATATGATGGCGTCCATGTGGGTGAGCTTCATTGTGGACGGAGACCCCAACTCGGCCGGCGTCAACACAAACTACTGACCAGTGTACGACTTGGCCGACCCGACTGAGTTTGTGTTTGATGCCAACGTCACTAGTTATGCGTCTCCTGATACTTGGCGAGAGGCAGGAATCGAGTACATCAAGAAGATTATAACCGTCTTTAGCAAATAATTCAGCGTTGTAAGTCAATTTCAATAATTGACGATTCGAATAACGATAGGAATGTAATTATAGCCGTGGAGGCATTCTAAAGCAGCTATTACCATTAGCCGGTACTAGGAGAGTGTATCATTACATGGGAGACTGCACAAGCCATGATTGCGTATCTCAGTTTCTTCACCTTACAATTTGCAGTACCAGTCTATTCCATTCCATATGCAGCAGGATATAGTTTTCGGGCCATGCATCGAACCCCGCATTCGGATATTGCTCATCGATATGCCGCTTGGCAATCTTTGCCCGGCATCGTGATTCTTCTTCGCAGCTTCGAGACTATACAATGATCACTGCACCCATCACACGCATTTAGATGCAAAAAACCTCTATCTTATTCCCACAATGTCTCAAACACTCGCGAGAAACCTCCCGAGCGTGCCCTTGGATGAATCAACATCAACATGGCCAACTCCGACAGCGGGAGAGTTTGTTCTCACAGACTTCCAATTTGATTCGGGAGAAGTTATTCCCACGCTCAAGATATCTTACCAAACCATCGGCACCTTGCGGACTTCACTGGATGGAGAAAGGACCAACGCAATCCTGATAATGCACGGCACAGGCGGGTCTAGCACCCAATTCCTCAACGGTAGCTTCGCAGGCCAACTCTTCAACAAAAGCCAACTCCTCGACTCCGAAAAGTACTTCATCATCCTGCGCGACGGCATCGGCCATGGCCAATCGAGCAAGCCCAGCAACAGTGGTCTCCAAGCCAGGTTCCCCCACTACCGTTATGGGGACATGGTCCGGGCCGACTATCGACTGCTCACCGAACACCTAAGTATCCATTACTTGAGGCTGGTTATGGGCACTTCGATGGGAGGAATGCATACATGGATGTGGGGGGAGACGTACCCCGAATCCATGGATGCCTTGATGCCGCTTGCGTCGTTACCGATCCAGATTTCGGGGCGGAACCGCATGTGAAGGAAGATGCTCATGGATTCGATCCGATCTGACCCGGCCTGGAACAACGGGAACTACACTGCTGATTTCCCACCTCGAGCTGGTCTCACAGCAGCACTGGATCTCATGACTATCATGTCATCTAACCGCATTGACCACCTTTTTGCATGCACCCCCATTTTGCAGGGAATTTCTACGCCTCAACAACACGACGTCTCTCAATTTACCTCGCAATTGCTCCCTATCTACGTACAAAATGGCTAATCCAGTGGATAATAGTCTGGACGATTTTGAGCAGCGAATCGAACGCGCTAAAGAGCTTGTCCGTCAGGGCTCTTCCCAGGCCGTAGCAGCCCATCGGTACGGTATCAAGGGGACTACACTGTCCTACCGTATTCGTCACGGTAATTCGCATCGCGACGCGGCCTCCAGGCAACAAAAGTTGACTCCATAGCAAGAGGAGGTTATCGTGAACTGGATCCTACACGAAGAAGTGTGTGGACGGGCTCCTAGCAAGCGTTATGTGGCCGACTTCGCTGCCGAAATTCTCCTTGCTCAAGGGGATAACAATACACTCGGCCAACACTGGGTGGATCACTTCGTTAGCCGCCATCCACAGATACGTACCAAAATTGGGCGCGTCGTAGATGCTAGCCGAGTTAGATCGTCCGATTCGACCAAGATCCGAGACTTTCTGGCTGGCGGAAGACTGGTATATGGCCCCTAGGCTCCGAAGGACTAGTCGACGTATCTTGTGATCCTCCGGAGCCTCATACACCAGATCCTCCGCCTCATATATCACCACCTTTAGTTGATTTTACTCCTCAGAAAGCGCAGCAACTATCTAGCCAACTACAGTCGATAGAGAAAGCCGAGGGCGGGGTATCTCGTAAGATTCGTACCCTAGTAGGCAAGGCGGGCAAGGCCCTTACACTCCAGGCCGCCGAGAATGCCAAATTACGTATCGAAAACGAGCAACTATATAAAGAACTCGATAAATACGCTCCAGATATACGCCAGCCCGTCGAGCCAGACCCGAATAAAGTATTCGTTAACTTATCAGCGATCCGAACAGCCCAGGACAAGAGAAATAAGCGAATACGGCCTATTTTACCGGATAAGCAGTTAGAAATTGATACTTTTCTCGAAGGAAGGGTCCATCCTAAAAAGAGGGCTCGAAAGAATATATCTAAGTCTTCGGACACTTAAATTAAGTATGTTCTGTATATAAATAATATGGACGAAGTATTTAGATTGATTCAGTTAGACCCTGCAAAATGGGGGTGCATGCAAAAAGGTGGTCAATGCGGTTAGTCCGCTGCAATATCAGCATCAATGCCCCACTCGAGACTCGGCGGATCAGTTTCTCCACGAAAGAATCAGCTCGGGTGTTGCCATTACAGATGCGAATGACTTGTTGTACGCTGTCGATGCTTCCTGTGAATATGATCCGAAGCCTTATCTTCATAAGATCAAAGCGCCACTAATTGCTGTCAACTCGGCTGATGATCAGATTAATCCGCCGGAGCTGATGATTTTGGAGCACGAGGTCGAGCATGGGATGAAACTTGGGCTGGGAAAAGCTATTGTTTTGCCCATCACGGAGGATACCAAAGGGCATGGGTCACATACTATTGCGTCTCTCTGGAAGGGATATCTGGAGGAGCTGCTGTTGAAGACGGAGGATAAAAGCAACAGCTGGGTTTCAGGGATGTGTGTTATGGATGGAATCGAGCGTTTGGACATATCACTGGATCTCGATCGTGAGCATTGGCGAAACAACGTATTGTAGTATCGTTACAGATCTCGCCAAGAGAGTACTTCGCTCGCCCAGCCGCAGTTCAAACAACGAAACCCAGAGAGATATCATCCACTGGTGAAAGCAAAGGCAAATCCCTTAGCATCCGTACATTTGTAACAACATCACCACCACAATCAATATGGATGTCTGCTCACTTCTGGCCTCGTCATCATCTGCATGAGTTCGACGTAAAACCTGGTCCTCGATCCCAGTCAAACCAACGTAGATCTGTGAGACGACTGACCCGAGGATTTGAAGGGCAATTGCGGCATAATTCAGTCTTACCAGGAGATTGAAGTAATGTTGTGGATGCCATAACAGTGTGTGATACATCGCAGGAGTCGTAAAGCCAACCATGGAGGCGGATAGTTAAATCTCACAGATCAGCCCATCCCTTCGCGTCGCATGGGGTTGGTTTATTTTCAGTTTTATCGGCACCAGTAGGATGTATATAGCGGTGATACTTGCTGGTATTCGCGGTCCCGCTGACTCGGGATGACTTTGGCTGACGCCCGGGCCCCCGACACACATACGGGGATATCCACGTCGTCCCCCTAGTTAGGGGAACGTGGATATTCGTTTATCTCCTTCCACCATACATGGCGGCTGACGGCCCCGCTGGCGACCGCCTAGCTTATTGGCTACAGGCCCCCTGCCCCCTGAACCGCTAGGCCTCTACAAGGCCAAGTGCCGCTGACTGGCGCCCTAAGACCCCTCCGACCCCACCCCCCCCCTCCCCCCTCCCCCCCTCCCCTCTCCCCTGGCCGGCTGCGATACAGCGCTTCGTCCAGTGTTTAGAGCCGCTGGAACGATAGGCCTAATACTGCTAACCTGACCGAATACAAATACAGGGGCGGCACAAGACGATGTACGATGTAAGTTGCCCCGCGCTCTCCCCTTTCCCTCCTCTCCCCCCGGCGCCTCACCGCTCTCCTACCGGCTATCCGGCCTCGCTACTTATTTGTCTGTCTGTCTGTCTGTCTGTCTGTATATGGCGAGGACGAAGGAGACGGGGCGCGTTGCGCGTCTCGGAACCGATGCCGTTAATAGAGCTGAGTTACGGGCTAACACACAGAGGATCCTATCGCTTATCGACCAGTCCAGGCCGAAGAACACTGTTATAGCGTACAAGCCGAAGCAGAAGGAGTTCCAGGTATGTTGTTCGCTTACCTATCGGCCCCGTAGGTTGCCCGGTACGTAGCTAACGTCTTTATATATAGGAGTTCTGCCGGCGGAAGCAGTATGAGGATGCCGATACGGTTACGGAGGACAAGCTCCTCCTCTTTCTTGTTGAGGTCGTTACCGACCGGCCCCTGAGAGCCTGGAGCCGGAAGGCCGACCAGGGCGTCCCGCAGGAGGAGACGCGGCTCGGGTGGCGCTCCGTACGGAGCTATATTACAGCTATTACCGACCTCTATCGGACCCAGAGGACTTTAGGGATGAACACGCACCCCTCCCCGCGGGAAGACCACGTACGTGAGTACGTCCGGTCTCTCCAGCGGCGGGATGCGCAACGGGAGAAGGATCTATACGCGGATAAGGGCCGGGAGACCATCTTGGACGGCTATACCGAGGAGCAGTTCGAGCGGATCTGCTACGAGCTTTGGGCACATAGCAGCTCCTCGCCCGAATGTCACTTTCGGACACTCGTTGACCTCCTTCTCGGCCATTATATGCTTACTCGTGGCGGCGATCGGAGGGCGGCCGAAATCTCGGACCTGTTTACGTTTGAGCTGCAGGGCGAGGGCTCGACCCCTTGTATGCCGGTTATCCTAACTACCCGTGCGGGGAAGCAAAATCAGCATGGACGACTTGAGACCGCAGGGGCACTCCGCAATAGAAAACCGCTTATCTGTATGCTAGGTGGCCTTGCTTTTTACCTGCTGTACCGCTGGGATCTAACCGACGAGCCCTTCCCGGACCTGAGCCGGCGGTCGGCCTGGTACGATATCCGGCTGATCAAGGGGAGCGGGGCGGATCGTACAACAGCCTTCTCGTATAACGCGCAGCGGGACTGGGTTACTAAGGCCTTCCAGTACGCCGGGGTAACGTCACAGAAGAAAACGCATATCGGCCGCAGCGCTGGGGCTAAAACAGCTGAGTTGAAAGGCGTAAGCGAGGAACAGATACGACGAGCGGGCCGGTGGAACCAGGAGCAGATGGTCGGGTGTTATCTCAGCTCGTTACCCCGGAAGTTTATGCGTGTAATGGCCGGGCATCCGCCGCAGATGGGATGCTTCGAGGTCCGGCGGGCTACTATCACGCCCCCGGAGGCCCTGCTTAGGGAGATCTGGCCTGAGCTTGACAGCTGGAGGGATAGGTTCGGCCCTAGCCAGGACCAAGTTAGTGACCTAGCAGCTATGGGTCTAGTCGAATTACTCTTCCACCTCCGGAAGGTTATCCTACAGGACTCGGCCCTGCTACAGGAACAGTTCCCTAATAGCCCTATATGGGATCACCGGGTCTTTCAGCATAAGGCTTACGCGCTATTCGCCCGGCAGGTCCGAACTACAGCCCAGGAGGAGGAGCGCCCTAGCCAGCTAGCTCTCCTGACTCAGGCTATGCCGACGCTAGCTGACTACCTGAGGTCGATCGACGTACGCCACGAGGCAAGGATAGCTGAGCTTCAGCAGCAGACGGCGAAGCTTCAGCAGTCTCTCGATCAGCTCGTACACTCAGACCGTACCCAGTCTACGCAGCTCCAGAAACTCACGGCCGGCGGCCTTACCTTTCGCCTTGAGGCTACTCCAGTAACAACACCTGTACCTTTACCTACAGAGGTAACAGTAGTAACAACAGTACCGACAACAGCATTAGCACCGGCCATAGCAGAGGGGCAGATACCAGTATTACGTAGTAATCCCTCTAACCGATCGAACCTAGCACCTACCGGGCGACCTACTGAGCGTAGTTCCCTAAGTCCGCAGCCGTGTATCTGGGCAGGAAATCCAGCGCCCCCGAAGCACAGTATGTGCCGTACGACGCGTACAGTGGAGGGGCTATGGAGGGAGTGGACGATCGGGATCCATGGCCAGCCGTCGGTTACCGAGTTAGACAGGCGTTGGGGCAGCCGGTGGAGATCTGGCCGCCGGAGCGAGGTACAGTGGTACTCTTTACGGGGCGAGGTTATCGTTGAGATTAGGAGGCAAGCACAAGCAAGGCGATGTAGCGAGGAGTCGGCGATGTGGATACTTAATTTGCAACAGCAGCAGATAGGCTGTTCTATAGACCAGCTATGTAAACGGTTACGGGCCGGGAGGAAGGCTCGCCTAGTATAGTAGGACCTACCCTAGCGGCCGGCCTTAGCCTACCAATAATACGTATATATTACGGGTACGAAACGGGAATCGACGCCTTACCTAGCTTTGTATTATATCTTTTACCCCCCGGAGCATCTCTCCTACCTGCTAGTTTGGTATCCGGACGTCGCCGAGCGGCCGGCCGTTAGGCCGGCCATCCGATGTGGTGATATTTGGGATATTCTCACCTGCTGACTGCACGGACGGTGTTTCGCCCTAGTGTGGCGCTCAGCCGCTGAATCCGCCCGCCAAACACCCCTGAAACGCCACCGTGGATATCCTATTGATATCAGGTGGGAGTAGATGTTGAAAGTTTCGTTATGTAAATATCCGAAGCTGTTGAAGCAGAATTTGACCCAATGTGCCACCTGCCGGTATCGACTGTAGATTCAGACCTAGCCATACCATACAGGGACCTCCTAGTTGAGAAGCAGACTGGCTGTCGGCAGTGCATGGTCTTGGGTCCGGGTCTGGCGGGATTGGGTGCTCAAGCACTGCTGAGCTCTTCGTAAGTGCCATACTAGAGCAAAAGGAAAGAGTCCAGACGGGGCGAATCCGGCAGAAGACATGCGTGTGCTCAAAATCAATGTGCTCGCCCGCCTAGTAACGCAAGGATAGTGGACGCTCCTTGAGGCTGTATGTTGCACGATCCTTGCCGTGGCATTCTTTGCAACATGGCAAATAAATAGGCACCTTTGGCGCTCCGTACGGTGAAGAAGGATAAGCCGAGTTAATAGGAACGATCTTCTCGATGTTTTGACGGATTCGTATTATTTTGTATTAATCCTACCGAAATCATGTACTCGCACGTCTTTCTTCTGCCCCAACCCAGTACCTTTCCTACTTCACTCAAACCACACTCATGATTTTTCCACGTCTATTAAGTCTATACAGAAAGGAGAAGCCCATTTCGGAATGCCAATTCAGGATCAAGTAAGCTTCGTAAACTCATGCTGGTCGCATGAAGCCATCCTAGCATCGTCGAAAATCGCTTCGGGGGTGTATTAGACCATGGATGCAGCGTGAAATTTTATTCCAGAGCTTCCCAGTCCATTTAATAGCATCTTTAAACGCCTCCCTGCCAATGTTAGTGTGGGAAATACAGGCAAGAGCTGCATTGATGATGATGATGAGACTGGCTCCTAGGAATCTGTAGTCGACCCGAGCGCTGCACCTAGTACACAACACTTAGTGATCCATGCAATACAGTTTTGGAGCAGTCTTCATCAGAGCCCTTCATCATGCCAGACATGTTGCGTAATGGCAAAATGTCTACGCTCAACTGGTTGCTCGAAGCATTTGCCATATCTTTCCGTAGATGTACTTGTACAATGTAAGGGGTTTAGCGAGAAGGTGGTAAGAGAGAACCATGACAGCTGTGGTGGAATTCCACCTGATGCTGCCGTGCATTGAGCTTTGGTCTCTCTCCTTCCATTGTCCCATTTTTTCATTTTGTCCTTTTTGTTCTGCGTTACCTTGTTCCTCGCAACTTCCATTCTCCTTGTGAAGTTGTTCTCATGATGTAACTTTGACGTATCATGAGTTTCTCATGCTGCAAACGCTCATGCAACGTGAGTAATAAGTCAACGAGATGGTGAAGTTAACAAGAAGATGCAGTCGGCAAGAAGTCGGCGAGATGATGTAGTTGGCAAGAAGAAGTCGGCAAGAAGATTCAATCAGCGAGAAGAAGTCGGCGACGGTGTTCGTCACACCTGCTTAGCGAACCTCTAATGGCAAGGGTCAACTCCATGGCTGATCTGAACCTCAAGCCACTTTTCGCTGCCCTCATCACGGCTAACCATGGCCCAGCGTTTCCAATTGCGCAAGTTCAGCATGGCCTTTTGAGCCTGAGCTCGGAAGGAGCTGAAATGGTATTCCATTTCGCAGCTGTCCTCATTCTCACGGCAAACCATGACGACGTCCAGGTCATAGTAGAAATCAACGAAGACGACCTTCTCAAGATACTGGCGGTTTACTATCTCCTTGGGCCCCGATATCTTGACAACGCGGGAGAAGCGCATATCCTTGTCCTTCTGTGCAGCCACTCTCACTCGGTTCATACGGACCATGGGACAGTATTTTCCCACTGTGAACTCGCCCAGTCGTGCTTTCTTAAGAAACCGTTCAGTGCTCTGACGATCGAAGAACACCACCTTTGCGGCCGCAGTGCGGGAGTCGCTGTTCGGAGGGTTTATGTTGCACGAGTAGATCCTTCCACAGTTGCGAATGCTTCCCAGCAGGCTTTGGATAGAGCAGTTGGGGGGGAGGCCCGTGATGAAAACGGAGCAATTCTCATCGTGAGAAATATTCGCGCTTAGATTTTTCGAGTTGGTAATGTCTCCGGCGTAATTATCTGAAGGTATGCTCAGCTGGTCGGGTTGGCCTGGGGTGCTTTTGACTTGGGGTGGCTGGCCGTACGTCAGCCAGGTCAGCGGGTCTGGGATACTGTTTTTGTGCTGCAGATACTGTGTAGGCTGGGCATAAGCACCGTCGTTCTGGAACTGACCATAAGACGGTGGGCTGGACGCGCTTGAGCCAGTGTTGGATATCCACGACGACTGACTGAGAGGATCCAGTATTCGGTTGTCCTGGAGCAGGCCTTGAGACAGTGGGCGCGGTGAGTTCGATAGGTTGTGTAAGAGCCACGGAGACTGTGTGACTGGATTTAGAAGGCGGTTGTCCTGTAGCTGGCCTTGACTCGGTCTGTGTGTACCACGGTGAAGTTGGACTGGTCCTAGTACATTCAAAGTGGCGTCGTATTGAGCCTGGGCAAGGTCTTGTCCTCTCAAAGCGCCGATGGGTTCAAGCGGGTCTTGTGCTCTAAAAGCACCAACAAGTTGAAGCTGAGCCCGTCTCAGCATGTCCGAATTGCTGTTGGACGACTGAAGTTGACTCCGGTTCGTTGCGTTGTAAGTGCTACTCCACAGAAATTGCGATTCGTCTTCCATTGCCGACTGGAACGTATTGCGGTTATCATCCGATGCTTCAACTTCCTGGCTGTGGGCAACATTGAGGCGCTCGAGTGCCTGTGGAAGTGTCATGAGGTTCCGGGAGGGACGCGGTTGTTGCAGATCGAGTTGTCTGCCACTAATCTCTCGCTCTTGTTCTGTAAGCCCCACGGGAGAGAGATCGGAAGCTGAGGGGAAAGAGGCAGTCACTAAAGGTGTGGGCGGCTCTTGGTTGGTAGGATGAGGATTGACGTCGCCTGCGACCGCAGGTTTCGAACTCTTGACCATTGGAGCAGCGCGGTTATTGTTCTCACTCTTGAGTTCACGCCTTTTCTCTTCACCTATTTCCATGAGTTAGTGGTTGATAATGTGCAGGGATCGGTGATAGAAAAGAAGAGTCAAAGTTGTGTCAAAGAAGACCCGATGCCAAACAATAAGAGTCAAAGTTGTATCTTAAAGATGGCAGCGACGGAAAAACGTAAAGGGATCAATGGTTACCAAATAAGGCAGCGACGAAAATTAATAACAGCCCAGGTTGTGACAAACAAGGCAGCGACAAAAGTTTGGAAAATTGTATAGTCGCATTAAATAAGGAAGCGACGAGAATCTGGGGGGACAGCAGCCATGTGAATACAAGGCCAGCGACAAGAAAGGGGGGAATAGTCATTACACACAAATATTGAGGCGCCGAAGATATCGAGAAGGATAGTAAAGTGCTCATGACATGTAGTAGAAACACGATAGAATTGGAATCGGCTCACCATACTGTACCGCTCGCCGCATTCGCTGCTGCGGTCCCAAAACACCAGCCGGGGTGACATAATCTTCAGATGCCATTGTGTTGGTGGAGATAGAGATCACGGGCAGAGATTGTAATGTTGCAGAAAAAGTTTACTGTTGAGGTTGTGATCCTTAGATACCAATCTTGTTGCTAAATCTCGGGCTTCGCAAATGGTTGCGCCTGTTGATGAAACTGGCATCAATGAAGAACAAACTGATGACGTGAAGTCGGTTGTTGAAAAGTTGAAGAAATGTGAAGGGTCGGTGAGTTTCAACTGGGTGGCTGTGATACTGCTGGTAAATTTGCAGGCTGATGGTTACCAGATCCCCAAAGTCGCTTGTGTTGGAAGGGTAATATAGGGCCGCTCAACCACAAAGTGAACCGTGTTAGCAGGTGTAACGTCAAGTCTCTTGACAACAGAATTTATCCCTTTGACTTGCATATCAACAAGGACGAGTCTTCTGGCTTTCACCTCTTCGGGATAGTTGCCGTCAATGGGATTTTTACACCGTCGCCCTATCCTACATAGCACACATTTTCAGCAAGACAAACAGCCTAATATCCCCAGAACTATGCCGATTCATGAACTTTGCATCCGTAGGGTGAATCACTACTATCCTGTGCCAGGATATCTCATTTCACACAGATTTCACCTACTGCATTCAAGTCCGCCAGAATATCCTAACTGCGCATGCACCACCACCCTAGTAGCCAGCATTTTCACCCTTGATCAGCTTTTATCTGCTGTGATGGATCTCAATTCACTACCTAACTAGTATAACCCCCACGTATGGATCACACTGTATTGACCCCCCTTTGCAAGTGGAATAACATCGTCAACACAACCTCCTCAACTTCAATCTCCAATTTCTCAACAACCACTCGATAAATCATGCTTGAGCCGGAGTTTTAAGTAGAGTTTTTGATCAGCACACTATACGTACTATAAAATTTATCCATGAATGCCATCACTAGGCCGTAGTGGCCAGCCGATATGACGTACAGCCATCCACTCTGTCTAGGCGAATGAACAACGGCCAATCGTAGCGGGGCGGAGCTACCTATCTGCAGAAGCTGTTAACAGAGTAAGAATAGATTATCTTCAACTCGATTCTATATCGAGAATTATACGGGCGCCGTATTAAGGTATTGAGGATGCGTTGGTTACTCCTTGGACCGTGGCACACTTGTGTGTATTAGAGCGGTAAGAAGCTACAGGCCTAAACTTTTCTATTTAAAATGCCGTAGAGTGAGAAACCGCTACTGTGTACTATAAAGGGCTGTAGTAATAGAGTTATCGCTAACCGCTTGTCACGGTTCTATCCGCGCCATTGTGGAGCTGACAAGGTTGTTAGCCCTTGCCAGCTGGCACCCCTACACTACACGAGATCTCACGATTCCTCAAGGATTAGCTTTGGACCTTCAGGCAATAGCAATCAATTTACCTGACCGAGTACTACGACCTTGACACCGCTAGACAGACCAAGTCTTCTTACTAGAAACTAATCTAAGAGCTACCGCTCAGCAGTTATTACTGCTAGACGGCTACCTAACATACGTACACCTCGGGTTTACATATATAGTTTATTTACCGTCCTACAAGGGTAATAACATCACTACTTAACATCAGTGTCTTTTCACTACTTAAGACATACTATCGTTGTGAGCTTTATAATACGCTTTAAATAAGGCTGCAGCACTAATTTATAAGTAACGCGCATTGCAAGCCTACTTGATGGCCTAATAAAAGGTCTTTTGTAATTGAATAGCTAGTAGAAATAGACATCTTCACACAGGGTGTTACTAGAGAAAGTCTGTAAAATGCACAATTAGAACGAAGCTATTCTGCCGACAAGAAGTTGTCTGACCAGGGGTGAATACACTCGAGGTAGTCCATGTCAGGTTGCATTTCAAGAATATTGACTCTGCGTTAAAGGAATGGAGCACGAACTAGTTGTCTGGAGTATTTAAGAAACAATCGACACAATGAGTGCCATTGTGACATGGTGCGACAGAGGCTGCCTTGACTTCCCTGGCAACCAGAAACTCTTCTGCGAAGATGATATTGGCAATGGGCGCCTGCATGTCCTACTGAGAAATAATTAACAGCGTCAGGTAATTAAGAAATGTCCGTGTCGAACCTCTCTGAGCGACAGTATCCAGTATGAAGTAGCATGGTAGCAACAGCCGGTCATTCGTACTGGCACATTTCCAGCATTACTGGATGAACATGGCCCTGGACCCGGCCCAGTAGCGGGAGCAGGAACAGGACCATGAATTAATGACGAGTGTTCTATAAAAAGTGCCGGTAGTATAGGTAAACACCATAGACTTATTGATATGAGATGTTGGAACTGAATAACAAGAGAAAGCCCAATCGCAAGTGCCAGTTACTACTTCAAATACGCAGTCTTCTGAGATATTGACAGAATGAACTCGGGTATCCGCTTTCGACATGTTGCTTTCTGCCAGCTTTGCCGTCGCACGAAACATGGAGCAAATCGGTCAGAGACACAAGAATGCGTGGATAATACTAGGTGTTAGTGTACACAGTCCGGACTTTAATCCGAAGTCATTCTAACCTTAACGTGAAAGATCCATGCGTATATCTCCACTTTCCCAAAGTTGTCAGAGGTCAGAGGCTCACAGGACTTTCTTATTTAGTGGTTCGTGAATGGCCGATGGGCGCTGAGGCCCGACCAGCAGGCCATGACGTCGCAGCGCAGTGGGGCTGGCGAAGCGGCTGAAACGAGACTGCGCTCAAAGTGTCCTAATTTCCATCCTCATCTCGAACATGACAACTTCAAACCCAGCCAAGCGAAGACCACAAAGGTTGACGAGAGGTGGCCGACGAGAGGCCACGGACAATCTGCAGACGATCAATTCAGCTTCATTGAAATCTCAAGCGCCGAAACTTGTGGAGCCGTTCCCAAATCCCACTCGGGACACCCAACTGGCCCAAGTAATGGCCACAGGGGCGCCGGTCTCTCACCTGGGCATGTCTCAAGTCTTGGCCGCCGCGGATCCCCCTGTTTCGTCCGACCCGCCATGGCGTCTCATAAGCTTTCTGCCGTGGTATATCGTCTGGACCCTTCCTCTGCACACCGTCCCAAGATGGCGAGTTGGTTTTACTCTCTCCTTCGTGATTCTCTTCATCCGATTTAATTGTCTCTTATTCTTTCCTAAGTGGCCGGCCACTCCTTTTTTATTACTAGACGCTCTTTGAATTGTTTCGCCGAGAACAGTATAATATCAGTCAATCATCCAACATGCAGAACCTTTTCTTCACTCTCGTCCTCTCGGTGCTCTGCGCCAGCGCATCTGCCATCGCAACCCCAGAACACTTTGCCGCCCACCTGGTCGCGCGCCAAAATGTCGCTCCCGTGGCCATCCCCGCCAGCGCCACGCCGCAATGCATCGAGTATTCCCAAATCGCCAATCTGTCCACCATCAGCGCCAACAGCACGTACCGGTCCGCTTTCCTCCAGGCGTCTCCCGTGGGCACGAAGTACGACTCGGAAATGCTCAACGCGGCGCAGGCCAAGCTGCCTGCCCTAACCATCAACAAGGCGCTCAATGAATTGTGCGGCAACCTGACCACAGTGGCGCTCACCGCCGCCGAGGCCAACTTCACCCGGGGCGTTGTGGCTCAGTTCTCCGGCATTACCACAGAGGCTCTCACAACTGGGCCTATCACTGGGATAGTCGTCTTGTCGATTATTGCCATTATGGGAATTCCGTGGATGGTGGCTGAATGAGGAAGAAGACTTGGAATAAAGGGGCGTAGAATGGTTGGGGTCGCGTTGAAGAAGATGGACAGAGTCGTCACTATGCCACGTCGGAAATGGCTGTTCGGGGTGCATGTTCGCAACATCGGCATCGAGCACCACTGCCTGGCTACGTGAAGACATTGTTCGGGGTCCCGTAGGAGGAAGGAAGCGATCACCTTGTGTATGTAGTAGTCCAAGTCGGTGTCGCACCGCAACAGCCAACATGGCCACTGTTACCGTATTGGGCTATTTCCGGCTTATGGACAGAACACCCGCCAATTGCATAGACTCCCGGTATCTCGATGAATGATCACTACTCGATTTTACGGCTCCGAATGTACTTATCCTCGTGCTAGCTACGTTGTAGCCTGTATTTAGGCCTTTAATCCCCCCCCCCAGTATGATAAGGTCCATGCCGATCCTCCACATGCCATAGCAACGGCTACAGGAGAAACACTTGGCCATAAGGGTATTTCTACAGGAAAGCGTGCCTCTTATCTGCTTACACCAGAGCAAGTTCAGAAACTTCAATCATTCACCGAGCACGAAAGAGCTAGGGAAAAGGCTGGTGCGATTATAGCGGTCCGACACGAGAGTACTCCGATAGAACTGTCAGGGCTGTCACCAACATTCTAAGATTGCAAGATCAATACCTGTCTCCTCTACACTACCTACAGCCTGCGTAGGTCTCGTCTGCGTGATGTCTTTTTCGGTTATGCGATCTGGTCATGTGTGATTATTGCGCAGAATGCAGCTAGAAGGAGGAGAGGCGCAAGATATGCTAGGTTCACAGGAGGGGTCTGGCTGTGCCTAAGCCTGACATGGCGTGAGTGAAAATGTTACTAGTACCCTACAGTGAGTAACTGCTGACCTGTTAGTGCAACAACAACAAAGTTGGGAATGACTGAGAGTAAGCAGTCAACAACAGCCTACCACCGCGCCTTTGAACAACATTTAACCAAGCATGCCATCCGCCCGCCTTGTAAATCGCAAAAGCCCGACTTAGGAGCATAAAGGCGGCACTGGCGGTCCCAAGGCCATCGCCCTTGCCCTCTCGTTTCTCTAATGGCGCATCCAAGACCTTCCTAGAGATTTCTGGTCAAGCTAAAGATGAAGAAGACATCAAAGTGTATGTGATTCCGGCCGGTACGGGCATTACGGGTAATACGGTCACGATAGCCGTATTGGTAATACAAGCTGGTTAGAACAGGTTTCAAATTTCATAAATCTAATAATTTCTATGCCCTTGTTTTCAGCGGAGTTGTCAGACCTTATAACTACCAAAAATACCACATTCTACAGCGAGTGGGTCCCTCGTCTTTTGACGGTCAATTTGGTCCAACAGGAGTGAGGGACGGACGAAGTGGAAGAAGGTTTGTTATATCGATTTTATTTTCGATAGAACTTACGGTGTCCGATTGGATTGTAGAATTGTCAGTAGGCGTACATATGTTAATTAGCTGGTCAGAGATTCGGGGCCTGTCCATTAATCGGCTGGCCGGGGCTTGACGGCTTGTTGTACTTTCATTGCAGTTGGCACGTAACCGGTTGCACTTCCTGATCCGCACAAAAAATCACCGAGAGAGAAACGATTATACATCGCGGGACTTTAAGACGAGTCGTTACTCTGACTTTCGTTTTTATCTGTTGGCATATTCGGGAAGTGTGTGCATTTTCAAGAGCAATAAACAAATGTCCAGATTTTGTGGAACGTGATGCTCTAGATGTGTCAAAAACGACGGGTCACATGGTATTGGAGCATAGAAGCACCATATCGTTAGTTCTAGCTTTTTCTAGACTGTTGTTTTATATTAAATGTGGGATTGAGCACCACAGTGATTCTTAAGGTTGAAAGGCGCTTTATGCTTAGAATAAAAGCGCTTTGTGCTTCAGGATAAAGGCGGGATAGAGGTAGCCTAGTAAGGCTGGACCCTTCAGATTACTTAAAGGAAATGCACACAGCCAACAGAACAGATAGAGGGAATCGAGCATGGAAAAAACGGTGACCTAACCATAACCACCAAATTAATCTTTTCATATAACCGTCATATCATGGTCATACTGCAAGATACGTGAATATCTAACAAGATGGCATCGGATCAAACTGCAAACAAAGGAGGCAAGGGGCCCGTTTGACTCAAACAATCAGACAAATAATGCAACAGTGGAAACATGAATCTATTTCTGCTATATTATTTCATGCTCGCTTGATAGTTTCCAAATATCCGCTGTTGATCATCCACAGTTTCCTAGTGCAAGAAAAGAAACTGTCAACCTGCTAAACATACAGTCGAACTAACACCAACAGCTCCGTATCTTGCCGTCACTCCCCAAACATCTCCAATTCTGTCTTTCGCCGGACTAATTCCATAACGCTATCCATTTCACCAGCTTCGGAATCGCCCCTACAAATGAATATCTTTCTCTCCACAAAGCCGTTGCCGTAGGACTTCATCAGGATGTAGGTCTCCGGAAGTATCGAGTCCTTGTTGCTACAGTTTTCTGTCGCGATATTGAGCTTGATGCCTCTCATCCCAGGGAGTTGCTTGATGATGGTGTTTCCTTTGATAGGCCAGGTTTCCTGGGTTCCACGTACCAAGGGCCAGGGACGAGGGTCGGTAGAGATTAAAGTGACGGCCAATAACCAGCTCATTTCAGTTAGGCCGTCATCATGGTCCAACCCAGGCTCTGTTATCTGCGTTATTTGATCCACGCCCATATCTTGGTTTGGCATAATGGTGCTCTCGGGCTCTGAAATACTGCTGGAGCACTTGATCAAGTGCTCTCGATGTCCAAGGTCTACGGTCAGGGGTCGAGCTAAGAGATAGCCGGATAATCACATTTGGCAGTGTGATGTCAGTATGAGACGCTTTGAAGAAGGCAATATATTCTGGAGATCACACACACGGCATGGCCCCGTAGTACGTCTTGTCAAAGATATCCTCTGTACAGTCCCAAAAGTGCATGTCTGATGTTTGATCGTATTGTTCAAGGGCTCGAGAAAGGAGCTTCAGCGGTGGGAGGAAATTCCCATCGAGCAGTAGCCCATACCATCGAGTCCGCCAATCTGCATGGCTAACCAATTCATGTAGGACGGCGAGCTGGGGATTCCGAAACTGACGTGTCGTCTTCCACGGGCGGTAGTAAGATTATGTCTATGCCTTGAACCCTGAGTTTCTAGTACAGGGCGTTGATCTCGTTTCCGGCCCGTGACGGGGATTCCCCTCGCTCCTTATAGTCAGCAAGGACGACTAGCAAAGTCGACTTGTAACCAGCCAACCAGTCCTTTGTAACGTCTAAGGAGTCGAGGAGACTTTCATAGCTGGCAGTGAGACCGAACATGATATGAGGAAAGTCTCGCACTCGGGTGTAGTGCGGTAGCTGAGTCACCTGGCTGTATGATCCCTCTGCCGAAAGAGAATCGAGGCCTTGTTGGCTAGGGCCGCGGATTATTGTCCGCCGACGAGAAAACCAACATTTAAAGTTGCTGGGCACGCCACGTCTGGTTTGTCAATGGACCAGCCAGGTGGAAGCAAAAGGGCCGACATAGATACCCGTATAGATGAAGCTGTCGGCAAGACCAGCTTCTGTCCATTCAGTTGGTTGGCGAAGAAACTGCAGTTCTGGAAAGTTTGGGTCAAACACCGGGGTCATTTTTCGGTGCTCTCCCGCCATGGAAACATTGCCTCGATGCAACAGTTACGGGGTATCATCGTTGGACTCTGAAATCAAGAGTTGCACATGTTGGGAATCTTCGAAATCGACAACGAGCGGAAGAAAGATCACGAATAGACTTGTGCGGGCGGACCTGGCACCTATTTTCAAATTGAAAAATTTTATATGTAGTGGAGGGCACATGTTTGGATGGATGACAGTCTGACGGAAGGCTATAGAAGGTGCACTGAGATCAAGAGAATGAAGGGGAAGAATTGAGAGTAAAATTTTGACGCCAAACTTTAGAGGAAAAGCAGATCCTGTGCGTAATGAATGTCGTGTTCGATATGTTTGATTGATTGATGATTCTAGACAGTGATATGAATGGTTCTGGAGATGTTGTTTGAAGATGCTATCAGTTTGATCGAAGGTGGTCGATTGACGCACCATGAGAGACTTTTGGGTCTTGGAACTCTTCAGCAAGTGCTTGCTAGGGTATGTATCTGTTTTACGGCAGTGACTATGGCTGGAACTTGTCGCAACAGAAGGTAGATACCGAAGCAGTGCCTTCCCCATTCTGAGAAGCCCGGTGCAAGGCACCTGGATCAACTGTCGGGTGCCTTCTGACCTTTGGTAACTTTACTACGGTAACTTGAGCTCTCAAGGTCTTTTGTGTCTGGGAAATAAGTCTCGCAATTATCTCGCCGGCTGCCTATGGCATATGAAGGCAAACGTAACTGCTATTCCCAAGACTCTGGTTCCCCAGGCGAGTCAATTACCTATCTGTGGATTCAAGAGCGATTGCTGGACAGGGGTATCTTCTTCAATAATGATTTTGATCTTGAGGCCCTCATTTTGTAGTCCAGGGCTTCTTTTAAGGCGCCCACGAGCTCCAGAAGGTGACGCTGAGCCCAATTACAGCGATGAGACGGTCACCAGTATCAGCTACTGCTTCAGTGATTCGATGTTTGACTTAGTAAATAAATGCTTCGGCGATTTGGTACCTAACTCAGTAGGCCACCGCTTTGCAAATATTTTCCGACGTGGCACTATGATGGCTTATTGGCAGGCTTTCTGTGGGAAGGTAATGGAATGAACAGAAATGGTCTCGATCAAACACAATGAGGTAGGTACTTGCGTTTTGTGCTTATGAGGCACTTCGATCGCGCATGCGTGTGGTGATATCAGCGGTGTCGAATGGCGGCAGATGTGAGTGTGACTTTTGATAATCAGCAGTCGTGAGGGCTAGAAAGTGTCACTCCCTTTTGGCCAAATATGTTGAGGGAATCATGATTTGGTACCCGGCTCTTCCGGTTCGTTATTATGCGGCAATGTCAGACCATGGCAAGCATGTTGAAACAATATAAAAGTAATCACAACAGAGTGGTTAATGGCATGGAAACCAAACATAAAAGGAAAGCAATTCCAACCTAGGTTTCGTTGGGGGGTTCAGGTGGCTGCAGTGGCAGGCAAGCTCGAATCCCTCTAATTTTGGGCAACAGTACAGCGCCTTATTTTGGCACCAGGACGAATATATTGCATCTCTAAGTAAAACTTAATCCACAGCCCAGCCCAGCTAAAGGCCACAAAATCTTTCAAGTGCCGTTAGTGACACTGGGGGCAGAAAATTCTGGTGTTCAGTAGTCTGTGTAGAATGCTCGCTGCAAGAGTGTCGTTGACGGCTCTTTTTCTTCTCCTTGAATTTGTCAAGCTTCCTCGTTCAAACCTTGCCATGGGAGGACATAAGATTCCCAAATAAAGTTCTGGCACGGTTCAGTTGTTCTCCCTCGCCGTGTTCACAGTGATGGTGCAAATGCTTGATGGTAATCGATAGCTGAGTAGGTTGCGGGCATGTGCAGGCACTGGAGTAGTGTTTGTTGTATTCGCTATGTTTGCAGTGATCAAAGTACGTGTCAGCACTTTTCAAGAGAGCTTCTGAAAAAGAATAGCTCCCCGTCAGACACGGGTATACACCCGTTGTCACTTGTCCTCTTCACTTTTTATAACTGCTCACCTTAGCCATGGCTCTGACTGAATGCTGATATTGATTCCACGAGGTCACCAGTGCCCCATGCTATCTGCTATTCGGTTGTCATTCCCTCCATCAAGCCTTCATGCTTCATTCTACGGCTTTTGACATTGGAGGCACCAAAAACATCATCAATCCGAACACAGCTTGTCCAATGCCATATGCAACAGGCAATCAAGCTCAGCCAACCTCTTAGACGCAATAGGGGGGCTGAGTCACTTTCGAATTGACACGACCATCCACCATAGACATAGCCTGCACCATCATGGACGCCCCAGAGGCGAAAGCAGATGAGCAAAGTAGCCATTATTCTCCGTGTTGACTCGTTGTTGTACCAACGATAGCTTGAGGCGGCGAGCGCGAGGTTCAGTCATCGATCGTAGAAGTAGGCGTGTTGGGTGAGGTCTCGGTCTTCGTGGTGGTCGATGCAACCACAGCCATGAAGACGAGAATGGTTCTAATTGTGGCATCCATGGTGACGTTGATAATGAACCGGAGATATACGACTTCGGAGCTACTTATTGAGGTGGAACAGTTCAGTCGAACACGACACGATGACGGACTAAGACGTATGGAAAGATTAGTGGTTTGAGCGCTAGGTAGATGAAGTGAGAGGTGAAAGGCGTGAGGTTGCATTACGTCTAGTATTTGTTTCTTTTTGGTGAGACGAAAGAAAGGAAGCCATTCATCTTTTCCTCGGACGGAGCAGTTTGCTCAAGGTAATAACAGAAAAATGAAAATCCTTCCGATGTCATGTGCAACCTGAAATACTGGATTTCCGTCATTCGTCCCAGGATCTCCTGGGTAAACAGTGAATACCGGACAACTGGCAATAATTTGGCATAGCAGCAAGCGAATGATGATATATTGAAGCCATTAACTGAAAGGGAACCTGACTGAGAAAATGGGCGAAAACCCAGCAAGACATCGAGGTATCTGTTACGGTACTTGAGTACATGAAGTAGATCAGGCCCCAAGGGAGAATTAAAGAACAGTCTACCATGAATTGTCAAGGGTTCATAAGGCAGCCTCAGATAGCCTTGTAAACAAATACATTAGCCCTCGAGGGGTGGATCAGAATCGATTCACCTAACTCTCCCTCGAAGCAGTTCCAGCTCTCGAGGCACAAACAAAGGCGCGGGTGCATGCTTGCATCTGCAAGCGGTTTCAACGGCGTATTTGAGCAGTGATGGGGGTTTCAAGAGGGAGGTCAAAGGCAACGCGCGGATTTCTTGGGCGACACTGCCCACTGCTGTTCGTGTTGCTTCATTGTTGTGTTCCCAAGTTGATCAGACGTAATTTGGCATGAAGGCGGTTCGAGATCTGCACAGGGATAGTTATGACAGCTGTTCTACCCTGGGCCAATGATGATGGCCCGGACAGAACTGAGGGTCGGCATCCGGATTAACTAAAATCTGCGATTCCGAAGATCCGCCTTTTACTCGTCGCGTGTGGAGAACGGTGGCGCGGCTCTTTGGCCCAAAATTCAACCAGCCTTGTCGCCTCGTCAAAACCGCATCACGGAACTGGCCCTTGGCGATACATCCAGATATCAGTGTGCTTTAGGTCAGTACATCACCTCGGCGCCAATAGCACCTCTCCTTCGATAATCCCTCCTGAATTCGACAAACATCACACAATTTGCAAAGATGGGTCGTCGTTCTGGTCGGGCAGCCGCTAGGCGCGCCGCTGAGAAGATGGGTAAGTTGTAGTTGTGGTCGTAGTCACTGTCGCACATGTCAACAACTCCAGCCATGCCCATGGCAAGCTTGCGGTCAAGCCCTTGGTGTTCTCGGCGTCTCATATGTTTCTTGATTGCTAATCATGTTCTCCTACGTGTAGAGAGCACGCCGAAGACGTTTGAGGAGATGGACGACGAGCCAATGGCTGATGCGGATGGCGACCAAGATGCTGAGCAAGACGGTTCCGATGCTGAAGCGCAACTCGACGTGGAAGACAATGATGGGGACTCGGTAGCTGAGCCCGAGGAGGACAACCAAGAATCTGATGCTCAATCTGTTGTCAAATCGCCCACCCCACCGCCCGTCCCCGTCATCAGAAAGCGACGCCTTGGTCGTCCACCCAAGAACCGACCACCCGATTGGGACCAACTGCCTATCGAACGCCCCGAACGCGATCCTAACGAGACACCCAGACGACGAGGTCGAGGTGGCTACCGAGGTCGCGGAGGACGCAAGGGCCAATCTTTTCAGCCCACGCAGCAAGCCATCGACAAGGACGGCGCCATGGCCGACATCGTGGATGACGAACTCGCTCTGCCCGAGGATGCTGAGGGAGAAACCAAGGTCGACCGAATGGGCAATCTCCAAGGCGGTCGCGAGTACCGCTGCCGCACCTTCACCGTGCAAGGTCGGGGCGATAGACTGTATATGTTGTCTACGGAGCCAGCGCGCTGTGTCGGCTTTCGAGACTCCTACCTGTTCTTCACCAAGCACAAACGCCTCTACAAGATCATCGTGGACGAGGAAGAGAAGCGCGACATGATTGAGCGCGAAATTATTCCGCATTCTTACAAGGGCCGGTCGATAGGTATCGTCACGGCACGATCCGTCTTCCGCGAGTTTGGTTCCTTCATTATTGTCGGCGGTCGCACCATCATTGATGACTACGAGGTGGCTGCCAAGAGAGCCGAGGGGGTTGTGGAAGGCGAGATTGCCGACCCCAACGACAGAATTGTCGACGGCGAAGAGTACAACAAGAACCAGTACGTTGCCTGGCACGGCGCCAGCTCCGTATACCACACTGGAGCACCTTCGGTCCCGGTTCCGAATGGCAAGGTCGATGTCAAGAAGAAGCGTGTCACCGTCACCGACTCGAATTGGCAGCTTGAGCATGCGCGCGCTGCAGCGTAAGTTTTCTTCTCTTCGACCAGCATTCATCCTGCTAACCACGACGACAGCCAATTCAATGCTGAGATCGGCGCTATCCGCCGCGCCAACCTGAAGGGCGTCTACGACATTCACACCAACATGGTGCAATTTCCCACCTCGATGCAGCCCACACGCGCTCGCATAGAGCAGGTGGCAGACTCGTCGGCGCCTACCGACAGCAAGGTCTTTCCCCCACTGGATCCCAAGGTGCCGCGCAACTTCAAAGTAGTCGACACCATCATGGAGCTGCCGCCGGCCGGTCTTGCGCCCGCTGCCTACGACCAGAACCACAATGTGCCCGACTTCCTCAAGCCCTTCCAAGGTCTCAGCGCTATTTCTGATGAGATCAAGGACCTCCTTCCGCCCGAGTGCAGAAAGCCGTTTGAGGATGCGCTGGCTCAAGAGAAGGCGTGGAAGGCAGGGAAGGGGCCCGAGAGCGAGACGATGCATCGACGGCAGCCCATCATTGACGCTTCGGTTGTTCCCTACCATAAGACATAATGTCCAGTTCGGCTACGAAAGAACACGTCTCACAGCCTCTTGCGTTGTTCCGACCTACACCATCCCAATTTTGCCGCCACAATTATCGCACCTTCACCGTGGACCGCCTGGCAACTCCCCGCTGGCACCACGAACCAAACTATACCCCAACCTTTCGACGCTGCCATGGATGAATGGACAGCTGTGTACGAGTAAAACCAAAAGAACTATGAGAGAGCTGGTCAAGCAGCTCATTGCCCGGCGTTTCCGGTTGCCATTGATTGCCACAGGGAGTTTACAGGGCCCCAGGGAGTCGAGGCTTGATTTCATGGATCCCCCGGCTGAGCAAGCTTGCAATGCTAATAGATGATGGGCATATATGCATCGCGTCATCCCTTGCGCTGGACAGGTAGAATCCATACCCGTAGTTGCTTCATTTAGGGGTGAGCTAAGATAGAGAGCAATACTCTGATTTCTGAATTTATATTTCCATTTTGATATGAATGGCTGGGGGCATCCGTGAAATAAGTGGCTCTTGTTGTCTTAGGCGTATTTGCCTCTTTAGATTTCATGGCGAAGGTTGCATGCTCGCACGTCAGCCACCTGACTGGACCGCCGCAGCCAGCTCAGTATCACTGCCGTTCAAGGGCGGCCCCTTTTATAGGACTAGACACTGAATCGTGGGAAGAGGACAGCGAATTCCACTTGGCGAACGTGTTCATACTGGTAGGCATACCGCTTCCTCTAACACTGTTGACCATTCGCGGTGCTTCTCGTACAGTTGTTCCATTGCTTGAACTAGACACCGTTATGCCTACCAGTCTCGCAGTACTTACTGGCTCTCCATGAATATGGTTGGAGACGCATACCTTGAAGGACTCATTAAGCTGAATCCAAATACCCCATGCTAATCCCGAGCCAATTCAAGATATTGCTGCTATCCTGGTCCTAGTGCAGCCCAGAAAACGCAGCAATTTCACCAGAAATGAAGCTTCCAAAGGTGACTCGCGACGTAGAGGCCTCGTAGCAGCTCACAACAGCTGTAGATCCGTGCAGTGCAGGCACCGTGGAGACTGGAGAAAATGCTGTTAACGTGCGTAAGGCTTCTTGCAATAGGACGATCTCTAATAACCCGCCTTCCACCCTATCCCTTCCACCCTATCCCTTCCACCCTATCCCTTCCACCCTATCCCTTCCACCCTATCCCTTCCACCTATCAACCCTCGACGAGAAGGGTCCATTTTCTGTTGAAGGAGATACTCTCATGATATCTTGAACAGGGACTTGAAACTCTGGCGTCTACTACCTCGAAGCAAAATTGAACCATCGATCAGTCCCATCCGAGGTAGTATCAAGCGGCTGCTGAATTCTTTTTCCTCAGTAGGGATGAGCCATCTAAATAAAGATAGCTGGTTTCCGTACCATTTCGTCTTCTTCTGTTTCTAATTCAGCAGTATAGCCAAGTAAGCTAACGAGTATGATTGGAACAGGGAACAGAAGTTGATGGGATACAAAGAGTGCACGTTTCTCAAGGCTCTAACCCTGAAGGCAGAAAGTTCTTATCTTCCCATTCTAGAAGAGCAACTAAGACGTCAAACCGGAAGCTTGCTGAGGAGGAGTACTGCTTTGCAATAGAATTTTATGTTCTTCAGAATGGAGAGGCCACGATTTGCCCGCGTGGACTCCTAAATGTCTCAACAAAGAGGAAACGCCTTCGTTCCGGGAAAGGCAGAGGAACCGCAACCTGAATCATCATGGATGAAACTAACTTGGCGGCGGATGGCTGCTCTCTTTCACAGAGCACGAAACTCGAGGCCCGAAATTTCCCGTCAGGAGCTCATGCGTGATGTATCAACAATGAACATCGGCCGGTTAGAGATCCCAATCATACCGTCTCAAGCACCGCTGCTGTCTTGGTTGTTAGGGAAAGAGGGCTAGCGCGCGACGATATTGTTCTTCCCTGGTAGCTGCCGTACCCATGACCACCTCGATTGAGTAATGGACCCCAACAATAGTGCTTACATCACATTCCAATGACCAGAGGTCATCAGGTTACAGCCAGAAGCGATGGTACTGGGTTACGTCCCGCAAGAGTTCCGTTGGCGTTGAATTGCTATTTTTACGACAGCCCCAATCTGTCGAATTTGAGTGAACCGTTACCAAAACCATCAGAGAGCTCGCTTTTGGACCTGATCCTGTCGACATCTCTGCATCCTTGGAGCACTACAAATATCTCCAATGACGACTTGTTTTCCTGGATGAGGAGATGTGTCACTCCGCTTGCAGACGCGGTATTGGGATTTACTCCATTTCCAAGAAAGTACTTTCACGTACAGTTACTTTCTTGTAGGCCTATGTGGGCAAGATTCAATCTCATGATAGTATTTCCCAGGTTTACCGCCCTGCTGACGACGTGGACAACTTGTGATGTTTTCAAGTGGTATTTGCCTCTCCAAAATGACCTATGAAGCGGGATAGGCGTCTTCTGTGAGTGCGATGCTCACAAAAGTGTACGTAACAACAACAGCTGTGAAATGAATCCAAACCGGATCTCAGAGCTAGGTACGTCATGTTAAACAGGAAGGTAGTCGGAGTATATGACAAACCGCATCACAAGAAGGACCGGAACCATAAACTAAAGATGTGTCCAGCGCTTTTGAAAACGTTTCGGGGGGTTCGGGATCCGCGCAACCTCGGGAAGACCACGCTCGACCATATTAGTTGCACGATTACTACCGTAGAGCTCAGATACCGCCTGGCTCTCATGATGTAACTATTCTGACTAATTTTCCTGTCGCGAATAGGGCGCTATTCCTCATATTGCAGTTAATTACACAGCACAAGGTCTCGCGATTCGACCGTGTGCATATGCTCATTCTACTTAGGTGGGTCTCCGTTCAACTCTGGCGATGGCCCCATGACTCGATACAACGCCCTTAATCTCCTGTATTAGGTCATCGAACCGGACCTACGGCGAAACTTGAGGAATGGGACCGACACTGTCGTAGTGTGCTCATGGCTTTCCAGGCCACCAGAATCCCGAGGCGTGGATGCATTCCACAGCCGACCAAATAAGGCGTTGCGTTAGGTAAACTCCAGTTGGAGAGACAACGTCAAGGTGACATTTGTCTGTCCACAACTTCAGCCTACAAGTGTTGCGTCATATGGATGGTGGCGCCTCCCTAAACAAGGCACGATCCTCCCCGGGTTTCAACCTATAGATATCTGGAATTTCAGCGAGAAGCCTCCGTATCATGGTTGAAGGAATGATTTCACTTTGCGCCAAATCGGCCTTGGTGGTGGTGGTGGTACCAAAAACAGCATGTGCATGTAGAGAGCATATTCGCGTGGGGCGACACCGTGACGGAAACATGGAAATAAGTAACGAACGTTGGAGAATTAATAAACAGACACGGTGATCTCAAATCATTACCACGGGAGGTAGCAGCTGTCCTTGATGGTGGCGAAGCTTCCATCCGGCTATGTCGTCAACCTATTCAAACGCCGATGATCAACGGAGTTCGACGTTGTCGGGATACAACGGTCCATGTCCACTGCCCACCATGCTCGCTTGGGCAGCCATTGCATCATAACCCGGGGTTGGAGTCGACAACCCCCCGATCCCCCCGCCCGCCTGGACCGTTGAATGAGCGTGCAGAGCAAGTTTTGCCTATCGTCTTTGGCCACACAGAGCCTAGTTGGTAAGCTCCTTTTATTAATCGCTAGTTGGTTGTACTGTCACTTCAGATCTGACCGTTGCGTCCGGTGGAGATGTATCGGGAAATGTGGCTGCACTGCAGTATCGCGGGTCCGTCGTCTGATGTCAGCATTTCGCCTCGCACGGGTAGTTGTGGCAAAATGACGGGCTGATCCGAGCTAGGGTAGCCTAATCGATCATCGACGAAGAAGCCAGACTTGCGGTTCTCTTTGTACAGGCACCGAAAACCCGCAAGTTCAGGATTCGTTCTCTTCGGCCGAGACGCGCAAGGGAACCCAAACACGACTAAAGGATTTGGCGCTACTGCAACCACTTTAGCGAAATCCCGCATGTGGCTGGTGTTCTGGATGTCTACGCTTGCCATGCTATGCTCCCGTCTACTTCGGATATTGTGGGGTTTGTGCCATGTTCCTCACCCCCGAGGATCTGGGATTGTTGAAATGGGAGATGATATATTGCTCCCCGGTACTACCATTAGGACCACCGAATTTAGAGTCCGCCAGTCATCATCATCATCGACCGCTGAGTATTGCCCATGGAAGGATGATACGGTGAGGGCAACATTCATTAACAATTGAGCCTATGGACGATCGCGTCCCTTTTCGTCTCGCTATTTGGGGAAGGATGGCGAATACTTGTTGGGGTAGACAGCCAACCTGCTCTTTCAAATGGGTTCCGGGTCATCCTGCGGACGCCACGGACTGCAAACAGCCGGCCAGGAGAACGGTGCGTTGGTGGTCAAAGGCTGACAGAAGTTCTGGCCGGGACATACAGGCGATGAATTACTTAGTGCAATTGGTAGGCAAAACCGGGCTTCTCGAAGGCCACCTTGGCTTCTCAAGACATGATTCACGACTCACTGTTCAGCGTGGCAACGCCGTTGCTGTGCGGCGTGAACACAAAAACCCAAGTGAGTGGCCGCAGTCGCGTAGAAGGAATCACCAGTCATAGTATTGCTTACGTTCTGGAACCGACTATGAGCTCATAGCTCTCATTCGCCAGCGTCCATTTCTTTTTTCGTCTGCACTAGCAGTTAGTCGGAGAGAAAAAGCGTATTGTCCCATAAGATTCTGCAAATGAATCGTGGCGAGCGTGCGTCATTGAGATACTGGTCTGTTGCTGGAATGGTTCGCCTGTCTTGGACAGGAGCCTAGGCCACTGCACTGGCTAGGCTGTATGTAGCCAGGCGTGGGAACTTCGATACAATTGTCTGCAGTCATGCGTGGTACTCAGCGCAGTACACTGCAGCAGCAACTGTCAACGGTGATGTTGGGAGACAGTCCTGGATTGGATGCCGAGTGTG